TTTGCTGAAACAAAGCATCCTGAAGTGAGTGGAAATTGCAAGTTTGTGTGTCGTTAGGAGAGAACGGTGGATTGTGATGGTGGTCGTTTCAACGACTGTAACACTAGTTGAAGAATACTGCTGCTAGCTTATTGGACCATTTTATATGTTGCGCGTGACTTTTTCTCTGATTTTCCTCCCTGAGTAGTATAACCATCTTTTAGTGAACTCCTATAAGAGGCAAAATCTAATGCATTGTTTAAATGACCTCTGCTGCCGCCTACCGCATTTTTAGGCAATATATAGCAAGGGTTACAGGAAGTTCCTGCAGCTGTGGCTTTGGACCCGAGCCCAATTCTTTTTATGGGGCAGGCAGACTGGAATTGCCTTCACTAGGTTGGTTAATTTAACATTTGATAATGATACTGAGAGGTAAATGATAGGAAGGTGCTGTGTCAATGGAGCGACGTATATTAACGTCTAGTAACCTAGGACGCAGAATGTGTTCTACCTTTTAGAACGTTCCAACAGTTAAATAATCATTGTCACTTGATAAATACGCTTCACTAGCCTGGGTATGCATAGCTTTAGGTGAACAAAGCACAAGGCCATCCTTTAAAGTCTGTATCAGCCTTGATACAACCCCGACAACGATGACAAATAAATGCGATTGTTACATAACATTTATTCACTTTGGTTTTGACATCCTTGATGGAAAGCATAAATGAAGGCTAAACTTGGCAGAGAGGCCTGCAATATAATTTTCTCAATCGCGCTCACAACACGGTCTTACTGGTAGTTCAAATGCAAGAATGCTATTAGAAAATTTGTAAATTTCTGGCAGCCCTCCTTTGGTCTTACGCACCCCACAAAAAAAGGAGCCTTTTTAAAACAAACTTAGTGTACGTCCTAGCAATCGTTGCCAGTGTTTGGATGGCGCAAAAGAACTCCTTCTAAATATCTAAGCACTTATCTTAGCCACGCAAACGGTGGGGAAGACATAACAGAAGAATTTTCCAACCATCCGCTTCTGAGTTACGAAGGATTTAGATGAAAAAGAAACCCTACTTAAAGGACCCTCACAATTCAAGATTTGGCAACGAACAGATGGAAGCTGCAGCGGTAACTTGTTGCGATTTCTAAGGACGAAGTTGTCGGAACACTCAGCATTCGTGAGACCTTTATTCGTCAGGAGGGTTTAACATTTTTTTGCAGAGGATTTTAAATATAGAGGCTTTTGTGAATATATTTAAGAGAAATGTTATCTCGAGATCTCCGTAGTTAACGACTAATACGATTAGAAACAAACCTAGTTTTTGCACTGAGTCTGCGTTGGCCTTCGAAACTAGAACGCAGACAATGGTACTAAAGTAGACCTAGGATCCTTTCGTTTGCGCATCTTCGGAGGTACTTGGCTCTCTTGTGCACGAGGCATCTTCATTTCTGCATTGCTAACTGGGTCCTTTGGTTACCCAAACAGTAACCAATGCGAACTCCCGTCAGGGAGGAAATGCTAACCGACCGTTCAGTGTTGATGGTTCGTGTCCAGATAAGTCATAAAGATAGCATCGCAGAAGCCAATCTCGTGTTTGTCCCAACTTGTCAACTATCTGGAAATACCGTGTGACAGGTTTAATAACCACCCAGCCGTGATGCTTGTTGCCCTGGTTTGAAATGCCTCCGAATCACTCCACCGGGGATCATGTTTAAACGGTCAGAGACGAGACTGATGTGAAGTGACCTTTGAACTACTCAATGTAATGTTTAGTTAGCAGTATGTACCCACTTTGGCATCTTGGATAATTTTTTTGGAGTTCATGATTCTAGTTTAAACTAGTTCAAACTCCTTTGAGTGTTAAATGGGTAATTTCAATTATGCAATAATTGATCTCCAGCCTGATTATTCACTTTCCAAAATCTCATGACCATTATCTTAAATTCCCTGTTTATTACCTTTTTTTAATGAAAGGAATCAATGGAGGTCAATTAACAGCGAAGCCGGCGTTGTAGAATGCATCATCACTTCACTCAGCATAAACCAGTGTTTTACTACAGCAATACCTACTTCACTCTCCATTTAGTCGGCTTAAAAAGCCTGTTCGTCCTCTCCACCCAGCATATATTCATTTCAAGAGGAAAGACTTCTGACTAATGATGCATGAAATGCCTCAAATCTTAGCGCTTTGGACCTCTCTTCTTTTACAGATAAATCTGGGTGTTGAATTTCAACCATAGGGTGCACCTATTTCAAGTACTACTAACATCGATGCCCATCAAATTACGTAACATTTTACAATCACAGGTTTAAGAACATGCTTCTTAACAATTACTGGAGATCAAGGTGTTTTCCTAGTCACTAAAAAGTAATGACCTGTAGTAGAAGGCAAATCTTGCAACTGCAAAGAAATCCAGCTTAACTGAATGACCAGTGGGATCTAGGGCATTGTTTGCGGCGCCTTTACCTCAAGGATTCCAAACTACAGGAGCTTTTATGGACTCTTGTAAGGAGGAAAGCACAAGGACTTCAGTTCCGCATCACTTTGGGTAGGAGAACCCACCGCCAAATATCCTTTTACGCCATTATAAAAGATTTATTCCTCAACTGTTATTGTGGCCTGTTTTGCAGCACTGCAGATGCATCGAAGTCTACCGGCTCTGTGGGTTTTGGCCGCTTTGGCATTTGCACCAAATGCCAAAACTGCAACAGTATTCCTCCTGCACCTTGAAGTCATAATTACTTCACTGTTCATCCTACCACTTTGGCAGATGTATAACCTATCGCCGAGTGCTCCAGCCGCCAAGATACAGCAGTTCTGCGTTCGAGAGTTAGCTTACAACAGGTCTAGAGCACTTTTTGAACTTGTATGACAAAGATGGCACAGAAATGAGTAGGACTTTCCAACCCAACTCATCTTCTCTGCAAAGATTTTATTTAGTCTTAAGTGGAAAGATGGCTAAACCACTTTATCTCCTACATCTGTCAGATTGAGTGTCAGAGATTAATCGCTGGAGCTATTTTTAAACCACATCTTTCTGCAGGCACTTTTTGCAAAATAGCGATGTCACAATTTGCCATTAAGATGTCTACTTCGTTCCGTTCGAATGAATAGTTAACAAACAACTTGTGCCAAATTTATAAACCATTCCAGACAGGGATAAGGAAAAAAGTGGCTAGGTGTTTTTATACCTTTCGATGATTAGCTGTCAAGAAAGCGCTAACACCCACGAAACCGGCTTGTGTACAGCAAAAAATGACGCCCCAGTAAAGAAACTCCCCTGAATAAAGACCGAAGGCACCTATAAATACTTAACGCTACGTTTTATTCGCTATAGTGCGTGGACAAGACCAGTGCAGTGATGAGGAATCATAAGTTACATTTGGGAAAAGCAATGCCTAATCTATAGTAAAGACAACTGGGTCAACATGTGGATTTTTGATTTACTTCGGAAAAGGCAGATCACTTCAAATCAATCAGAGTAGTCCTTTTGGTTAGTTGGCAGCTGAAGTGAATTGCAAATCTCCACCCAAAATCTCTGCAGTCTCGTGATACCTAGTAAAGTAGCTCCTAACCACCTTTCTAATAAATACCTCAACAACTGAAATGTGATCAAGCCCTGAGCTAGTTATTTGCATTGTAGCCTAATCCATCCACTGCCAACCATTTTAGTAAGCTGGTAAATTATTACTACTTAATTTAAAAAGTAACAATACTTTCGCAATCACCTTGTTGAAGTCCTGCTAAAATTGCTCTTAATAGGGACGTAAACTAGGCCTGAACATACAGTTTAGTGGAAAGCGTAGGAAACTTGAAAAACCAATGGAACATATCAGACAACTCAATCCTTGAGGCGCTGTCGAACATTCTGTTTGAATGTAACATTTTAAATGTAATAGCAAAATGGAAGCATTTGTTACTCAAGGTTGTTGGCTTCTTCCCGTAAGCCTTTAACGTACACTTCACTGACTGTATAAGAAGTGGTTGCAATATCGTGGTTGGTACCGATTTACCAAACATGAAAAGAGTGAAATACCAACAAAAAGTCACCTCTTCAAATGAGTAATCTAATGAGTTTTCAAATGACATAGGAACGATCGTTTGATCCCCTCCTTCGTCGCCTCAATTCTACTTCTGTGGCCATTTTGAGTACTGGAAGTTGGGGGGTTTAACCATGTAGGAAGAAGGTAGTTACCTTTGCCAGCAGCCAATCCATATCCGAAATCGCAGTAGAGGTCATGATTCTTATATTTTCCGGATCATCCTCGTCTGCGTGTTGTCGAAAATTCTACATATGGATTAGGCAAAAGTTGAGTGGAAAGCGAACCTGCCTAATGTAGTTGCGGTAGTAGGGCTGAACCTCCGCCGGCAGAAGGCGTACCTTGCGCAGCAGGTAGGCGTAGAGATGGAGCGAAGTTTGAAGCAATTTAGAGCCCGCCATCTGTTACCTGGGGAGGGGAAAAATAAAGACATGCGGTTCAATGCGGTGTTGAAGGTAGGCAACTGTTGCACGAGAACTTGCAAGCCATGCAGGTGCCGTTCTTTGCCAACACTTCTAGATCATTTACCCCACATCAGTGCCAGTAAAGCACCGCTAAAATCTACCCCTTTCGGTCATCAAACATGCCTAGAGAAAAGATTACTTCAAATGCGAATTTCCTACTAGACGTAGATAGTCTCTTAAAAATGCTCTACTAATCTCATTACTTGAAATACCGAACAGCACGTAAAATAAGTAATATATTAAACAATCTCTCGTGGAAAGTGATGGAATCCTCATCGACAAAAGCAGCGAACCTAGGAACGGTGATTTCATGAGTACATCGAAACCTGCCTTCTTGTCGCCGAATTGATATGAACCGCAGACGTATGCTGCAATCGTTTAGTAATCAGCACAGGACTACGAAGTTTGGCACTGAGAGCTTGCCCATTTCTCGCCTTTCGCAGGACTTCTCAGTTCGCTGTGGGAATGTCGACTCGTCACCTTTTCCAACGATGAACTGCTTCAATAACTGAACAATATCCACAATCTTAGTTATTTGGATCGCTATATAAGTCCACAAAGAACGAGCTACAAATTCGCCGTTGGGAGCCGAACAACAATTATTCTAAATGACATCTCTAGGCAGTGTAAGAAGGCTTCTTGGGGAACATCCAGAAAAAGTCAACCAACCGAGAGAAAATTCCATTCTAACAAAACTTCAAGCCGTAAAATTGACCTGCGAGAAGATCCCATACCGCATTTTGGGATGAGGGGGAGACCGCCTCATCCTCTGTATTCCCCTCATAGTTCTCCAAGTGATTGCCAACTCTCCTCGGCATTATACTATCACATGTGAGAAGGACAGTTCGAAGGTAAGAGGGCAGGTCATTTTGTCCTAGAAACCGGGGCCGAAGGTGAGGATTAGAGCTTTTGAAAAGCATTTCGACAAATGTGCTGATAGACATGCCGCACTTATTTGCTTCGTATATCAAAAACCACACTTTATTACATCATGCTAGTCAATAGAAACCCAGGAAACGTAGGCTACCTAGCCGTACTTGCTGTCACCATAACGCAACACTAAAATCCAGAGCAAAATGGGTACACACAACGCAAATCGCTGAAGGTCTGAATGCAAAATGACTCCAGCATCGATTCAAAATGCAAGCACTGGGACATGCAGAATAAACGAACATCTACCACATCCACAATTTCAAAATACTGTCTAGAATGTTGGCTCAAGTGGAGGCGTAACCGTTTAAAAGGCACTTAATATTCGAAAGCACAAAATCGAAACACAAACACACAAAAAGTAGAGCGGGGCTCATCACAACGTAAAAAAAATATATTTGCTATTTCAAGACATTAGCTACAAAAGCTGTTCCAGCTAGGCAGCAGCCAAAGCCATAAATCCAGCGAAATTCCAGCCACTAAAATAGAGGAGAGAAGAGCCACACCTCGAACCCTTATTTATCAAAGGGAAAGATCCAGAATTTGACCTCCTTTCGAATGGGCAAGAGGTCCAGCCGACCTGCCATAGGGAAGTTTATCCTATCACCACTGGCCACTACCGCAGTGGCTTCGGCATCCGTGAGAGAGAGCGGTAACTCATTCTCGGAATCGGATGAGGACGATGAGGTGGATTTTGGTGTCTTAGAGGGATTGGAGGGAGTGCAGGTAAGAAGATGCTCGTCCGCGAGATGGGGAGTGAGGAGAGGTCGTTTTTGGCCCGAGGCAGTGGCGAGGGTGGGCAGGAAGGGGTGCACCGAGACGCTATGACAGCTATCCTCATGGCCGCGCCACACTGATGCTAGGCGCATCGTTAGCAGCTCGTAGCAGGACACCGCGCCTGTCTGGTTGCCCGTAAAGAGATATCGTCCCGTACTGAGCGAAGGAAGAGGGGAACCCCAGTGTCACTAGCCGACAAGTCATTCCAATCAATCCGCTTCACAGCTCAGTAATAAATGTCATAAGTAAAGCATTATAGTTAAATGAGCAGGCACCAAGACCATAACTCGCAAAGGACAATGCAAACCCCATGGTTAGCATGCTTTCCAATTTTCTGGTGCAACTAGAAATTACGCCCACAAAACCAACTCACGACGAGTCTACATAGGGATATTCGCCTTCGGGTCCCAATAGTTACGTTCACTAAAGATATTTTACGCAGCAAAGTACTTTTAATAACAAATCGTTGTAACCTGGCTTATTTCTTATTCAAGAAGAAGGTGAGAGGATAACGTGTTTTTGGGATTAAAAGGGCGTTGAAAAACAGGATATCAATGCCGTGGCCCACAGGTCTCAATGAAAAGTTGCTGTTGCTAGCGAATGGTGGTAATATCTAAATTGTTAAGGACTTTTCACTTTTAAACAAGCAGAAAACTATTCCAAAAACAGCCAGGAAGAAGTTGTAGCTAACGTCCAGTCCACGGTTTAGATGGGTTCCATAACAGGCAGTCAAGCGTTTTGACTGTTTAAACGGTGAATTACACGGATGAAAATGGAAGCTGTGACTTACGGGTCCACGTCAAATTGGAAGCGCTGGTAGTTTTCTACTCGGCGAGATAGAGTAGCTAGTGGCGTTTCGGATTTCAAAAAGCGCGAATCCCACACATATATCTACAACAAGGTGTGGATGACCATAAGGGCCAGAATAGCGCTGACTGTCAAACAAACCTACACTGACTTGTTGGCGTTTAGAAGCTTTGGTTACCCCACACATATTTATTGCAAGTAGAAAAAACATCAGTACAAAAAAGGATGGAACGCCGTGTTTCGAGTCGCTCACTATATGAGAGTTATCCGTTGCAAATCGACTTAAGGAGAAGCGATGGTATTAACTCAACAACTTAGGCATGAGATGCAGAAACACAAGACCCAAGCCTATTGAGAAGGCAGACCGCCGTGAAGCAAAGTTACGACACTAATAACATTTGATAGCTAAACGGAACCAGTACAAAGAAATTTGTGCACGATGGTAGCGCGGTCTGTGCCATGAAACAAAATACAGCTACGAAGTCCCACAATATCAAGCCAGCTATCACCTATTAATTCGACCCATATTTTTTCTTCAGAATTGTGAGTACGAAGCTACGCAAGGTTGAGACTCCATTGATTCATTGTAAATTAATAGTCTACGATATTACGTGTCCACGGCTGACAGAGGATATGTAGAGGACAAAGCACACCATTAAACCGGCCAAATGTGGAGGTGAAGCACGGAAATACAGAAAATAGTCTGCCTCTTCTGTTGACATTGAGAATCTATCGGAACGGTGTCAATCAAGTAGCTCTAGTAGAGGCTCTGTAAGCCGGTTTTCGAAATTTTGGCAAAAGCCGGTTCCTCCAAAGGGCTTAACAACATCGCAAAAAGAGGAATAGACGCACGCTTCCGTCCGAACGACCGCCAGCAATGAGGTACCAAGGCACCACCCCGGAAGCTGGAGTGACAAATTGGACCTGGCTAACGCCTCTTCGGGGTCCCTGGAGGATGGGCGAGACGGCCTCGCCACCTCCTGACTCCGAGTAGACGGCTACCGTGCCGCCGAAGGTGCCAACCGCGTAGACACTTTCAGCACTACCACAACTGACACCATTCAGCACCGGCGCCGATAGTGCCGAGAATATTCCACCTTGCTTTGATCGCTCTGCAAAAGAAACAGTTTTTTTTCCATTCAAAATAATCACTACTTCGGGGAAGTACACCCCTTCCCTCTACCTGCACGACCGCTGAGTGAGAAACAAGGATGTGACGATCAGGTGACGTTGATTTTTTAAGAAGACGAACTCACGTCCTAGTGGTGGTCGACGTTCCGAGCGAGCACCAGGTCTATCGACATGAAAAACTTGAATGTAGCGACGGAAACCGCAGTATAAAAGTCTGCCATCTGTGGAAAAAGCCACACTCTGTGGTGATGTAAATTCTCCCTACAACAGATTATTTATGGTTTTGAAATGACGAGAAATGTGGATTCCGTCTCATCCATGGGTCTTACCAAATGATTACTGGGCAGGTAGGTGGCTCGCTGTGAACCATCGTAAGCGTCCCATAGACGGACTGGCATTCGTCTACCAGTACTTACAAAACTGAAGAGGCATACAGCATATGAATTTAGAGTGCAAGGGAAAAGTTGCAAGCATGCATCTTACCAACAGGTAGAAGGGTCGTCGGATCGCATGTACGGGAACCAGCAGTAATCGTACACGAGTTCACATTCGGGCATTCGCAGTACGACAGGCTTTTTGTGAAAGAGATTATCGAAGTAGCGCAAACACAAATGGGATACATGTAGATGTGGCCAGGCAACTCACAATCTCTGTAGTCAGCGGATCCGTATCGATACTAAACTTTTCGCCGGAATTCGTCAGGGCTGGTGGAAAGTCAAACAGTCGAAAGACATTGTCGAAGCTAAGAGTAAGCAGACAACACCCATCTGGAGACCTGAATGAATGAATAAATAGCTAATCGAGGCAAATATGCAATCTAACAGGACCAACGTAAGGGACTCACCACTTGCACCCACGAAGATAGTTATTATATAGATGCACTCCATGATAATTGCAAGAAAACTCTTTGTCAATTGTTGCAAAGAGTTTCGGCTGGGAGAAGGTCCAGTCAACAGGATAATCTGCATAGCAGAAATATGTGACCCAGTTAACACAGGATTTTCCTACCCAAATCAAACACCAATCAACACCACAAACTCGCCTTCACAGTGGCCTTCAAAGTTTTGATCCATGGGTTCCTCTTCAGCCTCAGATGGTGTCACGACGAGTGGTTCATTGGAAATATTCACCGGAGCATCAGCCCCACCAGGCTTTAAACCAAGATCCAAAGTCCCACTTGAAACTAGAGGAGAAGCTTCTTTGGTGTTTTCTTCTGTTGCCATTGTTACTACTGCAAAGGTTTCGACGAGTTCAGTGGTAGACTGAGATTCTGGAGCCTTTAGTGAAGCCGATTCGGGGATTTCGTTTACGGGTACCATCTTAAAAGCCTGCGTTTCAGCGCAACACTTTTGAACTTCGGGCGTAGAATCCTAGGAAGAGGTGGAAGCATTACCCATGTAAGCCAAAGCAGTGAACTACACCAAAAGAGAAGAAGGGAGGAAGGTGTATCTATTAAGCAGAAACTGCGCAGCTAATCTAGTTTCAGAGTAAATGAGGAGCCACAGGAACACCCTTTATCAGACTGAGGATTATTTGCTATCCTAAAACCGGATCGGATTAACTCTTCCTCGTAGTCGAGTTTAGAACCCTCGAGGAACTGCATCGACTGGGGATCAACGACGATTTTCACACCGGAATGCTCAATGATACTTAAGGGAATATTAAGTCAAACCATACTTACATGTCATCACCGCTTAGGTTTTTATCAATCTCATACTTGTACTGAAAACCGGAGCAGCCACCACTATCCACAATAACTCGCAGTAATCCATGGTCCTCTCCTAGTTCCTTCAGTTTCTAATAAAATATAGCTCACCCCCTGTAACATTCCCACTAACCTTTACACAAGACGGCGAAAAGATTATTTTATTATTCGCGGTAGATAGGGAAGCAACTCTTACAACCGGACCTGCTCTATGGAATACCGGGCGCAGCCTCAGCATGTGCGCATGGGACCCAGGCTTAAAAGTAATTAGTTGCGCTGCGCCAAATCCATACTGATGGGTTAAATCAAAGACGACTAAAACAACCAGCTTCATCTTGAAAATCCCGAAATTCCTACACTACACCTATGCACCTTTAAATGCTTTTCAGACGCTTAGGTTACGAATTAGTTTGTCGTTTAAAAGGACTTCTATTAGAATACGAAAAACAAGTAGTAAGGAAACCGGTAATGCGCCTTTTCATTTAAATATGTACTACCTGTCTACCAGCATCCAGCTAGCCTAAACATTTTGCGCTTTTAACTAAATTTTTGGATTTTTAAGGACTAACTAGCTCATTTTATTTTAGTGGAACTTTGTTTTGTAAAATTAAGAGGTAAACTTAGAACATCCTCTCTACGTGTCGTAGAACCTCAGTAGGCCACTGTATTGTAATGTTTTGATTGCTTTTTTTAGGCATTCCACGTTTCTTGTGCTGGCACTGAAGGATATGGTCACTGTGCTTTAGCTGGGTAGCATGGACTTCGTGTTGTACCGGTGGCCCCTCAGTCCTTCTGTACATCGTAACGCATGTTCCGGCCGAGCATTGTATCCTCCCAGCTTCAGGAAAGCCTCAACGCACCGCAGTACCCGTTCAAACACTTCGAATATGTTGCGGCATTAAATAAAACTAGAAACAGCCAAAAATCTCCTTATTGGTGTTCTCAAAGACCTTTTAACTTATTCCGCCCATAGTCGATAGGGGTAAGACATGCTTGAATTTACGCATACACTAACTGGGGCCAATTTCACCTCTGTCTTTTGCTTGGCTGAAGCGAATGGGCGATTTAGAATGAATAAATCCTCTCGTTTAGAGCAATGTCAATAAAGTTTGAGTGCAAGGCAGAGGAACTACTTCAGGGCCTGCGATTATTTATATCCTCATACACATATCAACCGTCATCAAATTCTATCGTATGAAACGTCTCTTTTGTGGTGGACACCACGCGCGCGAAACCAGGCAGGCGATAGCACTGTTCTCCCCCGCCAAGTTACCCCTAATCTCGCATATCGGCAGGACTATGCAGGAATGATGTCAGTGCGGAAGCAGTCACATGCCCAAATCTGAAAAACTTCAGGCTGCCTTGCTTGACTTCTGTCCTTCAGACCAAGCGCGCCCCCATCCACGACTTTCAAATATTTTACTCGAATCCATAAAACTGATACACTGTTTCCGCATCAGGACCGGCCGAATATACTGCTGGAAGAGACTACGAACATGAGTGAGAGCCCCACAACTGATCAGCCGGGCTGAGAGAACCGTAAAAGGGTATAAAGTGCCAGGGGGTGGTACTTCGTTTAGCGACAGTGAAACAAATCATGCACGGCAAGGAACTAAAACTCATTGAAAAGAACATTTTGAAGACCTCAACTCAATTCACAATTTGGAGATGAAGAACAGGATACGCTTATGCCTGAGTACATGTGCAATACATGTTTAAATGTACATTTTGGGAAGCAGGAAGCCCAACTACCCCAAATCTTCAGCCGCGCAGATATCACCAGTTCCCAGGTGGGGAGAAAAACACAGATCTCCCCCTCTCACAAAGCTGGTAGCTTGTAAAACACCCATGATATACAATGTGAAATGTGTGCCAACAACTAGCCTTCTAAATCTGGGGATAGAAGAGAAAACGAAAATATTGCACATAAATCAAGGTAAAGTGAATGATAAAATGGAATGGTGTTACATTCAATGATAGTCGAAGATGATGTTTATTGTTCCACTGGTTCATCACGAGGAGGGGCAGGGAGGTCTTGGGATCCGAAAGCACGGTCTTCCTCCACGTCTACGTCGAAGGGATTGCGTCCTCTCGTAGTGTGGCAGGGGCAGGGTGAGGTCTGCTTGTTGGTCGGTCCCGCTGACGGGGCCGCCGCCGCTGCTTCAAGTTGAGTGCGGCTCATGGGAATCAGAGGAGGAGGTGGAAGTGGGGCCTCCAACGCCGCGCCATACATCGGGCGCTGTCTGCGATGCAACGAGCAAACAGACCGTCACAGATCAATAACTGAGCGAACAGGTGTACTTAAGGTCCACCTCAGATATCTTAGGAGTAACACTTTCACAACGCACTAACAAAAGGAATAGGCTTTATTCTGGACCTAATATCATACCTCTTTTTCAAATGTAACGCTTAAGAAAGTAATTCTCTGCTTACATCCAGTGTCGATTCGCTAGATTCATACTGTTTATGGTCAAGAAAGAACTGAATCGCTCACAAGGCAGCCCATTTTAAAACGCTTGCGACGGTTATGGGTCCTTGATTCGAGTCTTAAGGCGGATGTGGGATTCAGCAGTCTGCACAAAGCAGATCTCCTGATTTGAATTGTTTTAGATTACTGTGCTTAGTGTGGTTGTTTTATCCAAAAGCACTTTCACGCTGTTTAGGTTATGATTATGGGGGCTGAAGAGGTGCCCTAGTTAGAATGAACTAGGAGCACCTGAAAATAGGATTTTACCGTCCCATCCATATCATAGTAGGCTACGGTATTACTCTCGACTTTTTACTATTCTATGCTATAAACAACTTTACATCATCCATCACTAGATCAAAAAATATGACGTCATCCCACAAGTTTGTAGCTTAAGGAAGCCGTCAACGATACATCTTGATCAGACAGAGTGCAACAAAGTTCTAGGAACGAGCTCTCATGGTGGGATTTTTTCCACCCCTTGACGAACATCTGTGATTTGAAAGCGACTCGTTAAGAGCTTGAACGAAAGAAAGACACCGAAAGTGAACAAGCTCAAATTAAATGTCCGATTGAATTAATTTCGACACAATTGGGTTCCAGTAATGGCAGTAGTGCAATCATTGCACAGAGGAAGCAGTGACTCACCTGTCCAGAAATGCGCGTCGCTCTGCCGGGAGCACCGGGGCCAAAGGTCGATCGGTGAGGGGTTGGGGCGGCCATGCGATGTTGGTTTGAAGCCGATTTTCTTCCACAGGGGCGTATGGGGGCGGAAATGTCTCGGTGTCGAAGTAGGTGAATACAGAGGGCTCCAATTCCTCCTCATCCTGTCTGCCCGCAGTTACTTCCATCTCGTCAAAGGCTGTGAAGGGCCCTCGATTTCGCCGCCGATCCCGACGCCAATATTGAAACAGACGCTGCCTCAGTGGCCACCAATGGGACGACCTTGAGGTTGTGGTTACTACCGCCCCCGTTGGCGCCGCCATTAGTGGTTCGCACAGTCCTCCTGCTGCCTGCCCACGGCTGGCGTTGTGGTCCCGGGAGTCGCTCAGGCGGAGGGCACACAAAGTTATGAGACCCGCTAGCACGCTTCCACTTAGCCATACCACCAAGAAGATTGTGTCTGTGAAGTGGAGAGGGAGAACATTCACAGTGTTTTTCCCCAATCACGGCGTAAATACGCCTTCGTTGAAGAGTTTATCCTATCCTTTCCTCTGCTCCACACAACGCGGATTAGTCAATGGTTAGACTTTATTGAATTTAACTCGTATCTGATAAAGGATCCAATAACGATGCAGACGTTTCCCTGGGGGTTTATGGTATGAGGATTTCATATCCCAAATACTCCCCTTTCGTGCAAAAGGCAACGTGCCTAATAAATCAATTCGTTGTAACTCAAAAGGACCAGAATTATCTCGACAGTTGGATGAAGCTATCGGTGAAAGCAGACAAAATAAGAAAAACACAGACAGGTGTCAGATTATTTCTGCAAATCCAAATAATCAATTTCAAGGAACCAACTCCAACCTTAGCTACCGTGCAGATAAGAAAAAGAACCGAAATTGAGCTCAAATATTTTAATAAGCTCTATCGCTCCCATAAGAATACAACAATTTTAAGAACCACCCCAACGACAATTGGTCGTCAGATCGGTTACTATGACCAGCTTATTGCATTAAAAAATACAGGTCAACTGACAACACATCTTTCATCACAACAAGCGACTACGCCTAGTGAGCAAATAAGTAAATCGAAACACCTTTGAAGGTTGTATTTAAGATAATCAGAGAGTAACTAAAATATTTTGAAAGTTTGGCATTGATATCATAAGGGTGCAAGTACTCAAAAGGGTCTTTGAACAAATATTGCCACCTCAGATGTCCATTAAGATAACTGTAGACATTCGGTTGGTAAAACTGGCAATATGTCACTGTTCACATAAACTTAGGTAGTCAATCATGAAGAAATAGGAATCATTTATATATAAAGGCGTCTGAACTGTATGAGCTATAATAATTGGAAAACTCAGGAGCTCATAAGTCTTAGGCTCTACAGTGCCTGCATGGCTCCCGCAATAATTGACCGCGACATCGACTACCTTATATCTGGGTCGAAAAAATTGCACCAAGCATGCGGCTCCTTCAGAAACATTAGAAGGTGAGGTTGCAAGCAGATTGACTAACCATTTCTGCCGTAAACAGAGATATCATGAACACTTAGACGCTCCTCTGGCCATGTCAGAATAAGAAATTCATCCACCAGAATGTAAGGTAGTAGAGAATTCGGGAAAAACAGCAGCGCAACACAGTTAAGACCGATATAGAGCCCAGTCAGTGCAACTGACAGGCCAAATGCCTAAAATAAGATACAAATTATAAGGCTAGCGGCTAACAGATTTCTGGAAAAGATAGAATTTTATTTCAACAATATTGTCGAACAGCAAATCCTCGAATTCGAAGATCTCAGACTCGCCAAAAATATTTTGACTCGCAATTTGACACATTCATTACGATTACCTCGAAAAAAGTCGGATTTCACAGTTCAAATGTTTTATTATACTAATATGGCACAGATTGTTTGCATCTTGCTTTCTTTCCCTTCCTAACCTAATTCATTTACTTTTAGTTAAAAACGTCACATACATGTGATTTGTGGACAAAGGCGAGAAAATCGGAGCGTCGCATATGTTCGACGCTAGCAGAAAACGAGTTAAAAGTGCATAAAAAGTACGTATGGGATATACCATGTTTTTGTAAATATACATTAGTGCAATCAGCACAATGTAAATGAATACGAAGAAGCATATATGTCCCGGGGGATTCTTCAAGGCATCAATGTAATCTGAAGAGGGAACAATGAGTCATTGTAGGTTCGGCTCAGGTGCATGAATATCCACATATACAACAGCGTACTTAGGAGCGAGCCCACAAAGAGGGAAGTAAGAAGCAATACAGCAGGCAGTACGGGAACCAGCCTTGCCAGTCGCCATAACCGATACTGATTCGATCGTCTGCTATAGCAACAGCAGCAGAAAGTATTTTTCAATGTGGTGGTAGCAGTGTAGATGCCTTCACCTGTTCCAAAAGTGAAATTAGAGTGGCTTCTAGGAAATCTAAGGTGAGAGGACCGCTCAGGAAAAAAGTGGTCCGCAAACGAGCCCCCATTGGTTCTGCCATCATCCACATCTCCTATTGCTCCGTAGCTGCTGTAGAAGGGTAGCTGTGGCTCATTTAGGGGGTTGAATATACTTGGGGATAGAGGAACTGTGTCTTGTACGTAGAATTTTCGAATGCAGCAGCAGTAAATCAGAAACATTAACAGGCAGCTCGTGAAAATTGGTATCAGCACACCAACTACAACCAAATGAATTGCTAAAGGTGCAAACAACCAAAACATGACTAAAATTGCATTAGGTATAACCAAAGAAGTATTTAAATAGGACAAAACTTGCCACTATCGGGTAGGTGGGAATAACGGTAGAAAACCATAAGACAAATGAACGAGGACATCATTGCAATAGAGGTACCGCAACCTAGAAGTATTAAACCATCATCAAAAGTGAAACATACGTAACCACACAAAGTAGCTGCCAGAGAGAGCGTACAGTAAAGCTGCCAGGAAGATAATTCCGATGCTAAATCGGGTTCCAGTTGAAATGCCGGAAAAAAGATCACAAGTCAACTGATCGGATTTGGTGTAAATACGGTAGAAAGACTGCTCATCAGTATGGGGACAAGTGTATAAAACCGTGGGAGCGTAGGCCACAAAAGTGGAGCTCTCCATTTGGGAACGGGAACCCGTCTTGTACTCAGCAATCACATTCACAGCTGACGCAGTCCCCAGATGTCGAGCGATCTTAACCTCATAACTGTTGTCACCGTAAAGTCTTAAGTCTCTAGTAAGAAGAAGTATTGGTAAGTAACAAAAATATGTCAAGATAGAGAGTAGCCATTTCGAACCAACTTGGCATTAATACTGGCAACGAGAGTCCCACGCAACGCCGCATCTCCGTAGGAGGAAAGACGATTTAGTACACATAAAACGTCACCAGTAGAGGGACTAACATAAGTGCCACCAGAACCACCGCTTGTTACCAGTGGAATGTGGTAGATGTGGTAGACAAGATTAACGATGGATGATGCATTTGCCTGAAACCCAGACGGGCATGCATCTGCGGAACCTTGTGGGGAGGAAGCGGCATAGAATCGAAGCGTCGATGTCCACCATCGCAGCCTCTCCGATGAATTACCAGGAGTATCATCTAGCAAATAACTCGTTTCGCCTTCCCAACTGGTGATGATCGTAGATGCGGAAAAGCGGTCCGTAGAGTCAATTCCACAACCACCCGGTATAGCACCTAAAGTACTTCATTAGGACCCCGGCAAGGTTTACTTTCAGCATCATAGAGAGAAGCCCTAACAGCTGCTAGAAGTGGTTGAGAATGAAAGGAATGAACAAAAAGAATCTGTGACGCGTTTGTAACCCTCTCCCGATTGACAAGTCCAAGATTATAGCCATATTGGGATGAAGCGACTGGAAATTCCTCCAGCAAAGAAGCCCATATTTTATTGAAAGGACTGTGTATAGAAAAAGCCAAGAACCGCGAGGGGTCAGTCGCGATGCCAAATGAAAAAGAATTTCTGCCCAGCTTGATTGTGATCTCATTCCACGTGCCGATCGGCAAGTCATCTGTCAGTTGAAGGCTTTCTAGATGGTGTGTTAATTGTCAAGCACTATTTACTTACTTCCAAAAACAATTAAAATGCAAAAATACGGTGCAACCTTCAGACTCATTTTCAAATTCTCCCCTAAGTTGATCGAACCATAATGTACCAATCGCTACAGCGCCCTAATTTAAGTGGTGGAAACAAAGCACACAAGCATATCTCGTATAAATCGAAATAAAAGGGCTTTATTTTAAGCAGCATGAACTCGCATTTGTTTTTACTGAATTGTTAGGAAATGAGCTAACTTGAATTGCGTTTTAATGCTTGTTTATTTTCGCAGTCGGTCAGCCTGCTCTTACCACTGTCCATTTGTTACATCTTTGTTCCCCTTTGATTTGCCGTGACTGCGTCCGCGTAAATATTTTCCTGGTTACAAAACTATGTTGTAACTAAATTATGCGGTCTTTGATGGGTTGTTATACTAAACTGTGCCGCGTTGAGAGTTCCCCGAAGACGCAATACTAAGTCGGGCTATGCATATTCGACGTGCGGAAGAGCCGTGGGGCTACTGACACAGCTCGCGGGTGGTTTTACCAGAGGGAGTGCAGTGGTCAGTCCCTTCAGTGTCCAGGTAACCAAAGAGAAAATCAAACCGACAACCCACGTGCTGGATTACCTTCTCTCTACATTATATGACTTGTATTCAAGAATACCCGTTGATTGAATAGCGTAGAGCGCATAACTGGATTTTGAGCTTATTTACTGTTGCATGCGAGCCATCAACCATGAATACGCTAGACAATAATTGCACTACTCCGCCCACATATGAATGCAAATAAGATTGTGGTAAATAAGACAGCGGTGATTTACTAACTTAGGGCTACCTTGTTATTTTTGTGGTTCGACTAGTCCTAATTTTCGTGCGGTTATCAGCTGTTTTTTTTTCCAGTTTTACAACAGCTTCCCGTCTTTTCTGCGCCGTTTTGTCATTTTAGTCACCACCCTTCTGTAATCTGCGACTATTTTGCAAATGCCCCCTAATTATGACTCCAATTATCTAAATACAGGAACTCGCCTCATATAATACGGGGAATGACGCAAAATAAGTGTAGTTCTTTACAATAGCGTTAATATAATGAATGTTTGTTGCCAATCGTTCATCACTTCCGAGCGATGATTTGTGGAGGCAGGACGCTTTAGGCTTTAAAACAGCGCACACTCCACATCTCTTGTGATTTTCAAAGGGCCTATTCTCAAAGATATTTGAGAATCAAATTATTTCATTGAAAATGCAAAATGAATTGAATAGGTAGTAAAAATTACATATGTGTGTGTCTTTTATGGCATTCCTCTCGTACTATTTCGGGAAGACTCTGTGGAAAACGATTTGATGCTATTTTTACGCAAGCCTTCAGTAAACACTGTTTTTTACTGTCGACAGGGAGCAGTTAGGTTTAATTGCGTCTCAACATTTAATAACGACTGCTTGGAATACAGGGGACTATTTTGCTATACAAGTTAACGATACTCAGACTATTGTTGAAATGTAACAATACAAGTTAACTCAAAAAGTAGCATGGAAACTCGAAGCCTACCAAAAAATCCATTACCTAATATTTAAACAAAGCGCAGAAATGAGCTAAGGCAATTTTTCAGTGCTCTTACTTCTTAAAAGTATGACTAAAATGGAAATATGTAAATGAGCGGCTGTAATGCTGGTTCGCTTAAGCGTACCTTTGAGGCGGAAGGCGGTCAGTAAATACAAGTTCCGTGACGAATCGGACGCTATCAGTCTCTTTAGGAGAAAACGTACCCTGAACACATTTAAACCGTCCACTCCATCTACTCGTCCCAAGAGTATGAAGGCTGAGGTGGCAATACTTCGGTGGGAATGGGACGTTTTTTAACAGGAATGTAGGACAAGGCCCGTGGATCTCCTCTTCCATACTCTTCGACATGTTTATTAGGATAAGTAAATGGGGGAAGCGAGTACAGTGTTTGGGGGGGGGGGGGTGTGAACACGGAACCGCTCTCGGGATTTCAGGGCGTTGACGCCTACGTCAGGAGGTTCGACTCCTCTGCCCGCCTCCTATCTGAAAGGTACATTAAAACAGCATAAGTATTATAGGAATAAACTGACATGAAGAAGACATTATTTCAAGTAACTTGCGCAGTTTATACCCGCTAAATTCCTCTGTATAATCGACGATTAAGAAGTGGGTTTTTTAGAGATCATTTTATGTAACTGTCTTGGGTACCCACAACGAAAAAATTCACCTTGATGTTTTCAATTTCTTATAAACGTGATTGTGTATCCCCATCAGCCCAATTTACAACTCACGCTTGTATTTGAAACCGCCCTTTAAATTATGTATCTTGCCAAGGCAAACTGTATACGTTATTATTTTCAAGTGTGATACGGACCACGGATGGTTCAAAACGCCATCTGACCCAACCCTTGTTAACGCCAGGTATCTTCCTACCATCGGCCAGGTAAAAAAATAAATAAGGGCAGTTTGCCAGAATTGTGTCTTTGAAAGGCATAGTAGGAGTTTTAACATCCACAAAATGAAGCTGATTTAAATAAGTATAACTCCATTTCGACTATCACCATTATTCGAGGCAGTATTTAGATAAGTTAGATGGTGTTTAATGATTCAGATTTCTAGTAATCACTCACTAGAGCCTAAACAGATATGATCGGACGATTATAAAAGAATGATCATTGCAGACAGCTGTCTAGGCAAGATGATAAGTAACTACACCTGAAAGTGGCAAAAGCAATGGAGGTAGACAGGTAATCTTCTAAGACAATGCTTTACTTCATTTTCCAGAATAAAACAGGACTAAGCGTCATTTTGTTTTTAAGCTTGGGGCAAGAGGTGCATGGCTGACGGTGGAGTTAATGTGCGTCTCTCTGGCGTCTGTGAAACTTCAATCGACGACAGGACTGGGTGTGATTAGGAAGCAAGTGTAGGGGCGTAGCCCAAGTTTGATAAATGTATATCCCTCCTTCTCACCCACTCCTCGCTCTTCCTCTTTCTCGCTTCCTCCAAACCTACACTGCTATCCTCTCCCTTGACCGTGGGCTATTTCAGTCCAAGTCGCGGGAGATGACCGCGTCGATATTCATTATGTCATCGTAAACACGAGAGAAGGGGAACTAGAAGGCAGGGCAACTGGACAAAAGTAAAGGCTTAAGAAGAAGATAGATAAAAACAGCCCTTTCAATACAGTATGGTGGTGTTTATTTTAAATCCTTTTTACTGGGCACTTTTGGGAGGACCGTCTCGCGACAACACTATTTAGCCATTCCAGAAGATCAAAATTTTTGTATATCGTGTTTTTTGCATTGCCCAAATCAAATTCCAATCCACAATGTAAATGTTATCTATGCCTTCACCTCCTGTCGCAAAAAGCACTAGGGAAATCTAGTTAATTTATTCATGTCTATAACTTTTTAAAATCTGTATAAACACTTGCATTCTCAGGTGCATATTACTCTTTAATCACATCTGATTGCAAAACTTTGTGCAATTCCGCCGCTATCACAAATAGACTTCATCTTTTTTATTTGTGTATATCGCAATCTTGACATTTAATATAAAATCTCAGCACAGTATGGCGCATTTCCCTACCTTCATCAAATGGACAACAGTGTTAGCTCCGATTTCGGTATGGCTCGCCGCAATGTCGTGTATTACGCCATGGGAATCTCTGAAATGCGACTGTTAGCTGCACAAGGCAGTACACTACTCTTTGCTGCCCTCTGACCAATATCCTCCCATTCTGAACTCTCGCACCATAAAGTGTCAATTGAACCTAATGTCATCTGAGCTTGTCTACTTTAAGAGGTGAGTTTGAAGCTTTCAGTCGAACTTTTTGTATAGTATTGCGAAAAGGTATGTCACCAGACCGTGCAATTAGGAAATAGTTGGAAATTTGTGATTATGCCGATGAATCTCCCAAAAAAGGATTGAATATCTTTTCTTTATTCCTGAAGTTAAAGGTGCGGTGATTCGGGCTAAACGTGCCCATAAAAAAGTTCTGTGAGGATTAACTTTGTGTGGTGAAACAATTGGTCTCCACCTATATCAGAGGGGAAGTCGCGTAATCCGAGCAAATTGCCACATCACAGGTATTGATGGATAAAAATAAGTGGATTTTGCTTTACCCTTTTTACCTTATAAAATCACAATGACGGGATTGTTCATCATGAGCTTTTTGCTAAAGGCTAAGTGACGATTATAACTCAAAATTAAAAATTCGAAGGCATGTGGGAGAAACTGCTTTGGAAACAGTCAGGGCTAGTTAAGCCATCGGAAGAAAGTCCTGTTCTCATAAAACAGCACATGACCCTACACCTCATGCCACCCGCTGCAAACTTCCCCAGGCGTAAATTTGCACTTCAGTTAGGATGGAAGAAAGACGACACCCAATCCCCACCCCTCATATTACCTTTTCCTGTTTAATGTAACCTTTCAACGGCATTACAAAGCCACATACGAGGTAGGGTAGACTGGTAGAAATTGGCATTGAGGAGGAAGAGGGGGGAGCCAGGTTTTTTGGCTCTAGAGATCAAGGGTTATGTAAAAGTCAAATTTTTAAGTTTTAGGGTTGTTGAGACAATCATAGATAGCAGTGGTGAGCATTCCAAAGGATATATTTATGCTTAAAGAAGTCCCCTGAAGTTACCTCGTTTTGCTATCAGAATCACACGAACTTATCTAGTGGTCGAATACTGCACAATCCAGCAAGCAATATTCTATAAATGATTAATTTGAAGGGCAGGCTACAAGTTTTCAAGGGGAAATGTGTCCAAAAAACCAAGACGAATATAGCAGTCGCTCAGACAACCTGTCACCCACAAATTGACAAACGAGATGTCGCACATTCTCAACCAATAAAAATCGGGGATGTACCTGGCGAGCAGTGGCTGCCCAACCCTCGCGAAGGCGGACTTTCTTCCCTACTATCTGATGAAACATGGCAGAAGCGGAGGTATGTGGTCTCTACGCCTTGTTAAAAGTCACCGAAATTTCTATGCACTCATGGTCCCATCACCATGTTTAGCTCCCTTGATTAGGATAGCGAAAGAATGCTATGTCAAGGTTTTCTGGTAAATCTCAAACGGAGGCGTGGATGAAAATTTTGTGATGATAAAAACACCCGTTTTCTGCATCTTTTCTCACAAAGTCTTCACACTTACAATCAAATTGGTCTGCCGCATGTTACGCAACATGAAACGAGCGCCTTTTTACCTCTGTTAATAAGATGAAAAGCAAAAAGTTCTAAGTTGAATTTTTTCGTCGTTTATTTTTAGGTTTTATTTATTAGGTGCAGTACGTAGCAATCATTGCTATTGCAATTTTACTATTTCATAGATTTTCTTTTCGAATTTACGCGAAATCTTTACCTGAATATCACTCACTCAAACGTTTTTTCATTGGGCAGTTTTTAAAAAAGCAGTAAAATGTGACTTTCCACTTCATTACTAAAATATTTTATTTTAAAACATTAGAAGACTAAAGACCTGCAACTATGACAAAAAAGAAAGAGTAAATGGAGGACGGGATCGGTAACAGGCATAACTTTTTTCAGAAAGACGTATCATTTGATGGAAAAGTCGACGTCTGATAAAAAGCGGTTTATTTAATGGGGGGAAGGTTGAGGCTCTTACTTAAGTACATTAGAACGCATGCCTATTATAAATGGGGAGAGCGATCGCGAACGAAACGCATCAACTTTTTCCATCATTTAGCGTAATTGTCTTACTTTCCAATTAACCATGGAACAAGTAAGAGCCAGTTTAGGTATTTTAAATTGAGTGTGTGCATCGAGCTGTGCTGCCACCTTTGCGAGTATAGACTTTGGTATTAGAATTTTTGGTGATAAAAACACGGTAAATGTAATTTGATTTGTGTATGAAGTACGTAGACGTTATCCGTTGCCTTGTCGGATCAGATGAGCTTAAAATCTTTTTCCTTTTTCAATTGTCAGTGTGTCAGTCTATAAGGTGGTGGTATATGCTCTTTGAACCCTTGATGTTGTCATAGGCTCGGTGTTCCCCCCTTCCGCCTCAGTCTGCATGCCCTTGGAACGAGCAGACGAATTGGACGAGGCCATGAATACTAGGTAGCCATAAGTAAGGGGTACAGAGGTGGCATGGTCTAAGTGTGCTCACGAGGTTCGTAATTGCCAGCTCAAACAAACGTTTTTTTACAACGTAGTTCATTTTAATCTAGACAGGACTTCACAGTGTCATATGCTGTAGCCCTACAAAGTCCAAGGTGACTCACAAAGTGCTGGACTACTTGTGGCCTTTCTTTTGCCTTCTCGGGAAGATCTTCCCTGAAATTATGGTCCCAATCATTAACAGTTAGGATGTTTTTGTACCATCTGCCTATCATTCCCATTTTTTGAGCACATTGTCAAATTTTCTTGGTTCAGGCCCTAAGCCTGAAAGAAAGTAGAAAAAAATCAGTAAGAGGGGATCTGCCTTGTGCAGGCCTTTATATTCTGTCAGATTTTGTTTGTGCAGATGACTCCGTGGTTTGCAGGATTGTTCGCTATCCTCCGCCTGAGTCAAGGAGACATTAATGGATAACTATTTTTAGCTTACGACAAAACATTTTAGTCGCTAAAACATCCAGAAAAGGGTGTTCCTTTTATAACTTTGATTGTTGTGAATTAAAATGTTATTCTTAGAGCTGCTATATTGTGTCCATTTCATTTAGCTGGATTGGAGTTTATATCCCTCCCAGAATAAGTGTGCTCATTCAGCCTCATGCATAGTCATTCATTGAGAAATAAATGCCATCTAGTTAAGCAATGATAGCTATATTCACCGTTACCTGGATTCCCAACTCGAAGGTGTAATAGTGAATCCTAACTTGGGCGCTTCGCTAAGTAGTCGAAATTAGGTGCTGTTGACAAACCCTACGAGTTCATCCTGTTAATAATTACCGCAAACATTTTCCTCATTTTCCATCATCTTGAGTTTCCGAAACCTAAAATCAGTCCGCCCTAGAATGGTTATGAAATTATGCTCTTGTTCAATCCGTTTTAACCATCATGGTTTGAGCAGTTTAGCTTTGGTCCTCTGTACGGTACATTAAATCACGTTAGTAATAAAAGCTCGGAGGAGGCTGTAAAATAAGCAGCACTGCGTTTTTGCTTTCCGTATTGCCTGTTCCATATTACAAAGTGGAGGGATTCGATTACATCAGTTTCTGATGCTAAAAAGTTCCAACTGGTCACAGGTAACGCCAATGGCATAAATGTCTCCTATCTATAAGCTCAATGCAACAATTTGATGAAAAGTGTTGTTTTTACAAAGACTAAGGGACAATTTTTAATTGCTTGTACCTAAACCTCAATGAGGTGTACTGCTTGCTCGGTTCTGCTGGAACTCATGAATAGTTAACCATGCCTTGCCTAAATAATCTGTTGTGATACTGCAGCGAAATCGCACTTGGTCCTATTTTTAGAAGTCAGTATCGTTTGTTCAATGAAATCAGGGCCAAACAAGGCGTTAGTCTTTTTCGTTAAATAAATTTATGCATTCCCACCTTTCCAAGATGAAATATTTTTAAGTTAAAGCTTTTTATGGGTGCGTTGAAGGCATTCTTTCAGTTTTTAGGTACACTGGAAGTAATCAAAGAATAAAACACTTATACTGGAACTATGATTAAGAAACCTAAGGAATTAATAACCTAATTGACTTAAAACTAGACTAAGAACTTATTTAAAAGTAAAGTTTTTCATTTGTAGAATGCTTCTACTGGCTTATACGGTCGCATCAAGAGGGACCGCGAAGCATGCATATGTGCGCCAACATTTCTGCTTCAGCTCACTCCGTCTAGGCTCAAAATGAAAGACGAATCGTGAAACTCTAGTACCACTTTGAAAATATTGCATGTAACGCTAGCACTGATCCCCGAAAACAATCCGCTCCAAGAATCACGCAAAAAAATCCGGCGACTAATTATTTACTTTATTTTGGTTGATACCGAATTGCCTTTGAATGAATGAACTAATCACGCCTACGACACTTGTAGGGTTAATTATTCGTATTTGCCACCACTTTAACTTGTCGGTTGTACTCACTTCAACTGTAACTTTAGTTAACACTATTTCTGGCGTTTAAGCAAATCAAAACTAACTATCAAGCTGTAGCACTAAATGCATTTCAACAAGTCATCTACCTTACAAATCAAATTGATTGGTCACGAAGAGAAGTTGTGTAAAGTTTAAGCGGAAAATATTGGAAGAAAAGTTGACGCGTCTGATAGAATCTTTTGGGATTTCCTTCAGCACTGAAGGCGGCTCTTTTGATACAAACGTGGTATCGACGCCACCAAGCCGAACTCGAATTGCGTCGACGATGCGCCTGGAAGATTTACGAGTTCTTCGAATACACTGGAGCTGACGACCAAAGACACGTAAGAGCACTGATTCGATTGCATAGGGACAGTTGATTTCATGAATTTTGCGAAATATTCAAATAAGTGCTCAAGTAAATCCTCAATTCATTGCTTTTTATTTGACTCCAGCTTCCATGACGAAGGTATTCACACTTGCTTGGTGTATGGCTCTTTTACCAATTTAGTATGACTACCTTGGCTTTTACCAGTTTGATTGCTATAATTTAGTCCAAGCAATGTGTCAGGAGGAAGAGACACTAACCTGGTGTCGATTTTTTTAGCTCAAGGAATTTTTCACCTGGATCTTGTCCAACTATAGTCGTGAGTTACACCTCAGGATAAGTTTCATTGAGTGTCTTTGTCATACAACGTGTTCACACAGGAATTAAACTTTATCAATTAGGCTTTCTTTTGCCGACTGCTAAAAGAAGAATTGCTGTGATTATAAAAAGCGTACTTATATGCAGAACTGAAATTGTCACGTTAATAAGTGATTACTTTTGAGTTGTTTTGTGTCAACGATACAAGCCCCAGTACCTGAATAACATTGGTGAGTGACTAAGTCCATATGAGACAAGGACCTTCTTATAACGTCAAAGAGTAAATGCGTGAGGATTTTTAAAGTGCCTATCACCTAATAGAGTAAGTTATGCGTATTCCACTACACTACCGAGGATGATTAGTGTGATCTTATGAGGAAAGCTGTTTTAGTACTTATCATGCGCCAAATTTTCGGAATTGCATACGTTCATAAATAATGTGGATTTGCATATGTCACATAAAGTCTCGTCCTCTGCGCATTTTCGCAACAAATTGTGTCATTCCATTGTGCAGAATAAGGCGCTTCAGCTGAATGTTCCCAGGAATGGTTGCTGCACTATAAGTAGGGACCACCACAACCGAGATCGTCACTAACAAAAGACCAGACATCGTTGAAACTCTTACACATCGGAATGCTTTACTGATGACCCTGACCAGACCACTGTACTGTTCTGAAGGTCTTCTACAGATATTCGTATGTTATCGCCCGTGTCCACTGAAAACAAAATAATCATACACAAGCACCACCGTTCGTTGCATGTTACCTGGAATTTCAGTTAAAGGAATACGAGCTTCCCTTGTAGCATGTGCACCGACCACTAGTAAGGAAAGGTACACCATATTAGCTCTGTCGCAATTAAAAGTCTTGTGCTAACTTAAACGCCCTTCGTAGTTACACTGATGACATGATGAAAGCTATGCAAAAATACAAATGAAGTTTTTCATTGCAACACAGCGATTCCTTCACAGCCGTCTTGGCCGATGGCAAAGATGCGTTTGCAGTCAAAGAGCTCCTTTTCGCAGAACCTTGAGCGCCGCCTTCAGAAGGTGACAATCGCGGGGAAGGGAGATGCGCGGTGGAAGAACAGCACCATTCGATTTCACGAGTCGCAGTGGCACTCGCGCTTCAACAACGACTACATTCAAAGTCTCATTGAATTTCAAAAACAAGGGAAGGTCAGTTTTCATCTCTAATTATTTTGATGGGCAGCTCAAAATACAAAAACCTGCCAGAATCATAATAAACTAGAGCAACAAAAGCCTCCGTTTTGCTCAAGAGGCTATGCATCTTATTTTGCCAAGTAGGAAAACAGGTTAAAACGTCAACAAACTCTCTCATGGAACTGAAGTGCGAACGTTTAATCTAGCATTCCCCAAATAAACTTGGGAATCTAGTTAGTATTCCACCCTGTAAAGGACATAAATCAGTGTATTTTATGTATACCATTTTTGTTCAACATATACCACGAGGAATAGCAAATCTCTGCTCTTAATAAAAGCTTGGGGACTAATTGTGTTACCTTTTATTTGAGTCGTAGCAAACCCTTGAAGGATTCAAACTTGGATGCCGATTAGCCTTCCCCTGTTTAAATGGTAATAATTGAAATATTGGTGTACTTTTCAGTTGTTGAAGGGACACAATTTTGGGGAATTTCGTAACTTGAAAATTGACAGTTGTTTATTGCATGACCTCTGTAGGTCAGTAGGTATTTGGAACACCAGACAGACAATGAACTCGGTTGAACCAAATATCAGCTTTTGGTATAACCTTCCACACATTAGTCACTTTCTTCCCTAAGTGATTAAATTTTTTAACCAAAGTTAAATTCCTTTAGAAATGAAGTAGATTAACTTTTGATAATTACCCAGGCAGACGGTTTCAGAGGGTCTTAACACAAGTGTTTCCTGGCCATAATTCTCAAGTCCAGTTTTTAATGCCTATTGTTGTGGCATTCTTAAAAAAACGCGTTTACAACTTCATTTGAAGGATGAAAAATTTTTCGCATAAACGACTCTAATAACATGTGGTGATTTACAAACGGATCCAATGAAGTATACAGGTTAAAGAGACTAGAAGCAGAAGATAGCTTTCCAATGAAGCATTATTAGTTTAATAGGCAATAATTCCCTTCTAGTGATCTAAAAGTGAGACCGGTACTCATGCAGTAAACTTTAGAGGTATTGGTGCTTTTAAATTGTTTAAAGTTTGTTATTTAAATGAAGAATACTTTTACGGTTGCGGCGCTTCAAACCAAGACATTTGATATCTTACCTTTCAATACCATGGAAAAAATCGGCACAAGTCAAGTGCAAGTGTAATTAAAACATAAAATTATTCTATTTATGCGCTTAGCATCATAATCAAAGCTACAAATATTGGGACTCTTCAATTCCATCCGGCAGTTACCAAGCGAAAGCATTATAAGCATACGGCCCTTTGAATCTTAACACATCTCCACCGGAGTTTTCGCTGCTTAGATTCTGGATTCGGACCTGGTGACGGAAGTGTTGGAGGAGGCGACCCTCATTCTCCAGGCACTTCCAAACATCCAGAGGGCCTCCACCACTCTTTCACAGCGCATTACTATCTGCGGTGATCTCCATGGTCAGGTGGAGGATCTGGCTCTCATCTTTCAAGCGGCACGTCCTTTCTCCATTTTATTTCAGACTTTTCCTGTTAAATTCGCTAATCGTGTTTCTCCAGCTTTTAACCGGACATTGATCTGTCTGTAGCAACATAATTAGAGCTTCATAGGGGGAGTGTAATGCGAAATCCATTTAAACTCCAAGTCATCACATGCAATTAACTAAAGTATTCGAAAAACTTTTAGTAAAGCATCCGTTTCATTAAATTAAACTACCTTCTCTCCTTTACTGAAAGCCTGAATTGCGCAGAAGTGTGTGGTGACAAGCGCCTATCAGATGCAATGTGTGACGCACTTGAAACATTAAACACGGAAAAGAGGCAATCGCGTTTACCACTAGGGTGTTGTGGATATTCCTAAAATATCCGACTTTCACTATACTTCTAACCAAAGTTAGTTCGACATAGCCAGTGAGCTGTGTGCGATTTTTCCCAATGATAACCTACCTGCTTGTGTCGAAATTGTAAATTATGTAGAGGGCGATACTCTTGTCCGCATACATTAGTTAAGTGTAATGGGCTCGATATTCCTCTCTTCCACCTCAGCCTTCGTAACCTTGGAATGAGCTGACAAGGTGGACGAGGGCATGGCTTATCGGGTAGCGATAAGTAAAGGAGTGCAGAGGTATCGTGGTCAAGGCAGTTTGGGGCACGTTTCCTGCCCCTTGGGGACCGGTGGCATCCGATCAGCTACGAGGATGGTATTTGTTGACCGCTTCTCTCCTAAAAGGTGCATTCAAACAAGCTTGTGTTGCATTAGGGACCCAAAGAGATAAGCAAATAGAAGGATTAGTGCTTGGTAGTACTTTTTTTCAGTATCTTGAACCACTGTTACCCTAATAAGTAGTTAAGAGATTCAATTTGGTGGAAAATGCAAAGGAAGCTCTGCCTTATGGGTGGTAGCGTTTGACACATAAGTGCTTTTAGTGCATAAGCAGATAGGATATTTGCGCTTATTTTAACATTTAGAGGAGCTGCAAATGTAATGAATGTAATCAACGACCTGCGTATTAGTTGAATGCGGGTAAGCGCCTCTAATAAAGTGCTGTTTTCATTAGAATAATAATGAACGAACTAGAAAATCATTCATTCCGTCTTTATATTTCAGAACGGCCTTCCGGACGTATTTAATCCATATGTATTCAATGGAGACTTCGTTGATCGTGGCAACAATTCCATTGAAGTGCTGGTTATTCTTCTCTCCTGTCTCTTGGCGCATCCCTCAGCGGTTTTCCTCAATCGTGGGAATCACGAGGATCCCATACTGAACAAACGGTAAGGCCGCTGAACAACTAATGCGTCTGCCTTTTCAAAGACATTCGTCTTATTTCTATTTTCTTCTTTTGAGACAGATACGGATTTGCTGATGAAGTTCGTTCAAAGTATCCGGTGGGTGAATTTGTTTCATCCTCCATAATAAATGTTGTGCTGCTTAATTTAAATAGACTGGACTAGAGTGGGTGTTAATGGAGCGCATGGGTCATCCACAATCAAGCGTTGCATCAAAACCTCACCCAAGGGCTCACTGAATAAAATAAAAATTCAGTAATTTTTTTTTCATGTTCATCTAAAGCCAGAATTACTTATCCAATTTTTCCTTATCTCCGAGGTTTGAGTTTAATGACAGTGGTGAAATGAAGCGATATACGATGTAACATTTTATGTGGTGACTCAATCGTTTCCTGGGATCAAAAGAATCCATAGAACTAGAGCAGTGTATGCATTGTCGACATGGAGAGGCTGAAGACTACTGTTATGGTCCCTAGGCTATGCCGCCCAGGCGAATTACAGAAATGCAACCTCCAGTGCCCGCCAAATCAAACGATAAGTAAAACAAAAAAATCAAAGTATTACATGGTTCGTCCCCTATTTGAAGCGTCGTCTTCACTTTTCCGTGCTCAACGTTGTCAATGCTATAAGAAACACACCCATGAGCCAACTACTCCAGTCATCGAATTTGCGCGCAACTGAGAAGATGTTTGACCGCAATGTCATTAATCCCTCTTGGCCATTCTACTAGAGCTGGAGTTTTGTTCCACTTGGGAACCGTATTGGGAAAAGGGGGAATGTGCTAGCCATCTCATAGGTCCATTGCTCTTCTTAAAAACGCTGGCCTAAGAACTTTTATTTAATAAAGAACGGTGTTTAAAATAGTTTCGTTGGAATAATGTCTTGAGTCTGTTCCTTCTTGCTACGTTATTCCCGCTTTAATACTGCTTAGCCATATCTATTTGGATTCTACCCAACTAGTAGAGAGGTGGAGAAGGCTTCGTGCACTCACTTGAGCGATATCTTGGTAGAGGTACTGTAGACGGCTGCATAGAGAATTTTTCTAGATGGCTCATGGCTAGTGTCGCTGGAGTCGTTAATTACTTTCCTGCAGAACACTGGACTGAGGTAGTTGCCGAAAGTGGACGTCACTTTTAATCCTTCTGCTAGGGATCGTTACAGCTTCTCCCATCCGTAGTACATGTTCTTTATCCATCACATTAAGGTCTTAAAGTCAGGAATGGAAATCAAAGTATTTGTAATTGGCTTTCCACTGCCACAAATATAGCACCCTGGAACTTTTCTGAAGGTCATGTCGTCTGGCAGAGGTAAAATGGCTGAACCTTCAGTGTCCGAGAAACCAAAACGAAGTGTTAAAGAGATAACGAAGGTATTGCATTTACTTTTTGCAGAAAGAAGGCATAACTAGCTAATCTTTGTTTGTTATATCTACTTTGTGGTTAAGATAGGAGGCCATGGTTTTTTTACGAAACGACTTAATCCTCTTTTGTGGTTGAAAAGCAGCGGATAAATTCCGCATATAGTCACTAAAGTGAGGAAAAATCAGGTGTCTTTTCAGTTGCTACTCAAATTACATGTTAAAAATTACTGCGACTGTTGCACGTGAGGAGGACTTACGCGGTTCAAGTAGCATCCACTTTCATTTAGATTTCTTGCATTGTCTCCATCTATGGATACTACCTGAATTAAACATTTTTACGATAAAGGAATTTGTACTTTTATTTCCCTATTCATTTAATGCACGAGTAAACGTACTCCTAAGTATTCTAAACGTATGCCTTTCCCGTGAGCTTCAGAAACAACGTTTTAATTTAAGTACTTACTCCTACCTTTTCCCCACGGTCCCTCTGTGGTGCCATTGGAGAACCTTTAAAATGAAGCTGTGTCAAGACGAGTGCCAAGTGGTTCTTAAACCCCTTCTCTTCCTTCCCTTGTTCAGAAGCAATACAAAAAAATTTTGAAGCAGACTGAGCCCCTTTTCTGCGCCATTCCACTCTGCACAATCTTGGACGACGTCATCCTCGTGTGTCATGGAGGTATTTCGAGAACTACCGACCTAACTAAGGTCACCAAACTCGATAGGAAATTGGTAACTCTGCCTTCTTTTATGTCTTTCCTTCTTCGACCTAGACGTCAACCACGCTACTCCTGTCATAAATGAATAGTTAAATGAACTGCGAAGCACACATCCCTAAATTAGTTAAGACAATAAAGAGTGGACCTACTGGTTAAGAAATAGTAACTTTGGACGTCAGCGCAAATTTTATGTTAATGATTCAAAGCGGATGGTCTTTAATTTTTCTGCTAAAACAATTAACTGATTAAATAAACCACCCAACGAATGCCATTTAGATCTAAAAATGGTTTTTCTGCACACTTACATCCATTCGTCTTCCATCTCTAATGGATTTTAACTTTCCCACTTGCTCCAAACAGAATGAATACCTTTCCATAAAATAGATGTTTTCATCATTACAGGCACAGGTAAAGTAGTGGTTTATCTATGCTCTCTCTTTTACAGTTTTTCTCAGTCCTTCAACCCCCCCTTGAAGGGGAAAAAGCAGTCTCCATTGACGACTGGCGACAGGTAGATTACTTCGTTGACAAAGTATTTTTTACCAGGTAGAGCTAAAAGTTACTTTATGTGCTTTGAGGAGCAAAAAGCATTTCCTTTTTAAGGTAGTTCACTTTGCTATGTGGAGTCTTAAGTGGCCTTTAATCCCTGTTTAGCTTCAACTTGAGGCATGAAAAGAGAACTTTAAAAGGTAGTCTTACCTTTAAGGCTCATTAATGGTCATAGGATGGTCGACTGGATTGACTATTTTAAAAGAAGTGGCACATGATGTGATGCATGCAAAATTGGATTGGTCTGACGTTTAAATGCATGCGCACCTTATTTGAGGGAATACGTTTATTTTCACAGCATACCTAATGCTGTTCAGTGTGACTATTCGTAATTTTTATGCGATGGGGCTAAAACCACCAGGCTTTGAGCTCCTTTTTTGTTAACATGTAGGCTCATGCGAACACTTTAATGGGTGCATTTAACAGGTATATGCAGCGTCCTAAGACTTCTCTAAACACTAAAGAAGACAATGCTCGGGTAGAATATAAATATTCCGCGTACAGTGGAGTTTGGGGCTACTGGCATGCCCCAAAGGTCAGCTCATCCGGCAAAGATACGATGGCGGGACCTAAAGTTTTCCTGAATTTTCTTTTTATAAGAAATTTATTTCTGGCCTGGTGGCAGAGATGCTTGCTAACCATGTGCTATAGATATTCGGAGGGTCAAGCCCCCATATCTTTTGGACTATCCACTTCACCGTATCTCAGTAATTTGTAATTACCCCAATTTGCCAAGACCTCAGTACTCTAAACAATGTGTTCCCCTGTCCAACTCCATATCTAACCTCAGCTAGGTCTACTTCATCCCTTGTATTTTGGCAGCGAAGTTAGGATTTGACTAGTTCCCCGCTCTAGAACCATGTCAGATCATCTGTTTGAGATCTCCATTTATTAATTATCAAATTAATACAAAGCTTAATGCTCCAGACTAGGCATCATCATCGTTATCATCATAGGTCCTCGACCTCTTGTGGAGCGATCCGCAGTCGGCACCTGGATGCAAACCAAACATTAAACGTGGTGGAGGAAGTCACTTTGGCCCAGACATCACTGCTAGCCTCCTCAATCACCTAAAAGTCGGTATTCTCATACGCTCACATGAATGCTGTCCCAACGGCTGGAAGATGGATCATAATAATCAGGTTTGTGATTAACCGAGTCTTTTCCCACTTCTACTAGAAGTGGGCTCAAGCAACCGCGAAGGGAGCGATTCTAATAAGGATGTATGGAATAAATGAAATCGAGTATGATGACATATAGTTTCAAACAAAGGACTTCGTACATATGTACAAATTGCTAAATGCCCTAAATAAAGAGAATTTTCCGCACATTAAATTAAATCATGGGTTACTTGGGATGTGAAGTCAGTGCAAATTTGTATTAATCGGCGGCATTCAACGCAGGGTACACAAGAAGTTCCCATGCAAACTAGTTGTGTGTGCAATTGGGATATCATCGGAGAGCATCTAAATTTGCTTAATAGAACCATGGGAATGAGCTCCTTGGTTTCCCATACACTAAATAAACTAGAATATGAATGCAACTACGTCCCCGAACTTGCATCGTTGACTTCATTCAAAGACATTTTAAAAGCGCAGAATCGAAACGTGAATCATTTTTACGTAAAACTATTGTGCTAAAATGTGGAATTTTTCACACTCTCACACTTGGGTGGGCTAATTCAGGCCGTTGGATTTTATTAAATCCAGATAATAAAACAGCATAGGTAATCTGACCCGTTTGGATCTGAAATTGGTCCCACCATGGATTATTAGCAGGAGAAAACGCCTGGATTTCGCTATCACCACCACATAATTTGTTCCATACAATGAAAGGAGGACTTTTATCCCATTAGGGGGTATGATGCAAAGAGACGATACCATCTACGAATGCTAACCGGCATCATGAGTAGCACGGGTTCTCATCTAGTTGGATCCTCTTAAATCACATAATGAGCTGAGAACCAAATCGTCTCATCTACTTAGGTTCTGACTGTGTTCTCTGCCTCCAACTACTACGGGACGGACAGCAACCTTGGCGCCTTTATCCAACTCTCCTCTAAGCGTGTAGTGGGTTCAGCTAGTGCCGCGACGCGGATCAGTATAATGGAGCCTGTGAAGTGTGAACTCGATGACCTGCCAATGGCTCAGGCGTCTGCGATGGGCGACGAAAGCGCCACCATCGCCGCTTCAACCAACACCTCAGCCCGTATCAGCTACACCCGAGTCATGACGCCGCCGGAGAATGGAGAGGAAACAGCAAACAGACATAAACAGATTGTTGAGATACTTTTGGCGCCACGGCTGGTGATGTTTCGGACCGGATGGTCGAGTAAACACCAATCTCTGCTTGGAAAAAGGTAGATCTTACTCATAGGCATGTATTTTTTACTCGTTTCTAGAAAGAAATTTAGAAATCCTGTGCCCTTTTTTGCGTTTAAATGAAACTGGACCAATAATTTGAAGAGTTGTTCCCCATTGATGTCAATTTTTCGGTTGTAGAAATTTAAATGACGCTGCCTACCGCATGTTGCTAAGGCGAATTCTCAGTCGTAGGGAGACCATAGTTGCCGCCCTGTGTAATTACGATCCACAGCGCACCGGTTAGCGATTTATCATTCGCCTTTTATTATTTGATTTGATATACATTAAATCAGAATTATGAACTGAAATTGACTAGCCAGTTAAATAATTTTAAGCTACCAACACAACGATTGTCATTCGGCTATGAACTGGTCAGAGGATCAGGAATTCTCTGGTTAATGATTAGAACGTCATTCTTTATTTACAGTTTTGCGAAACCGGCAATTTAAAATGAACATCAAAAACTTCATTAACTAATAGTATTGTGCTGTATTTTTCAAAGAGGAACTATATAGTCATTAAGGCTCAAACGAGGGTGGGGCAGGTCTGTAAGCACCTGATGTAATTTCTGTCAGGCTAACTGACAGCCCTGGAGGTTGGGTAAAAATGATCACTAAGCTCACATGCAGAAATAAACTTGATTCCGTATGCACACTTAAAAGAGTGCTACAAATCTTTTGTATAAAGTAGGCTTTGATTAGGTTGGAAAAATTGTTACTCCGAAATACTGAGAAGGGAAAAGTGAATAGCTCAATGGGTTTGTCACAAACGGACTGTGACCGTAAAATTCACCTACTTCTGTGTATCATGACAACCTTAAGTCCTACAAAGTCAATTTTTATGTGAGTAGCAAATAGAGGAGCATCAACGCAGTCGTCCAGCCGCCTCTTTTAACGTCCAACCTGTTATTAATTGGTGAAACAAAGAAAAAGGCATCACAAGTAATGTTGAGCAAAAAGCTACAAAAAAATGTTTTAGTTCCTTCTACGGCACGGAAAACACCATTGGGGATTCTGTCTTGTAATATACTTGGTCTTTGAAATGAGATAATTAAATTTAGTTTAAGTGCGATTTATATTAATCGCTCCAATCATTTGAATAAGCTATTTTGCGGTTATTTGTTTGGTAAACTATGATGGATGGAAGGATTCAATTGCCCCTGTATTTAATCTAGTAGGTCCGTGAACCAATAAAATGACAAAAAAGTGCCTTCTTGATTGGAGGCTAGAAGCAATATTTTCTTATCAAAACATGAATCGCTGTCAATTATTAAATTTAATGCAGCAGGCGTATGGATAAAGTACAATTAATAGAATCAATGGGGCTTAACATATCTTTTATTTAATATCCTACACGGCAGTATTCTTTGTAATTGAGGTAAGGTAGACCAAAACCATGGTTAGAGGTGGGTAATACTTCCTTTCACCCATGCTACCAAGTACTAAAAGAGTCTTCTGAATGAAGCGACTGTTTTGATTCAAATTGTCCGGGCATATAGATGCTAGACAGAATAGATTATACAACAGCTTTCGCTTTCGTTTTTAAATGCAGGTGAGGTAAAAATCACTCAGTGGTGCACAGTGATGCTGAAGCACGCCGGTCAAAACCTACCATGGCGTATCCTGCGCTACTCTCTGGTCAAATCCTCTCCCACCCGTCCCAAAACCCACGTCCTTTACATGTCTATGTTTGACCCCAAGCACGAGATTTTTTCCGAATCCACAGTGAGTCTCCCAGATGCTTCTGCTGATGCAGTCTCATCCAGTCAAGGATCGATCTGTTCGTAGACTATTGTCGGGCCTTCGGGGCTCCTGAGAGGCACCTCATTTGCTCAAATAACAATTATAAATTCTTAGATGCTCACAATCTTCTTTTGCAAGAGATTTATAAAACACGTACACTTTCTGTTGATAAAACACCAAATTTCCGTTGACTCTTGCATGGAAATTTAGCATGCAATTCAGAAGATAAGTAGCCTTTTAAACATTTTGGTGAGATACGAAAGGTTCCATGGTGGTAGGATAAAGTGTTTAGTATTGTGTTATTTAATCATCGAGCAAACTGTTTAGTTTCGCACACCGCCCTCCGCTAGCCACGGTATGAGCTTTTCATATTAGCGCATGTTTGCCTCATGATATAATCAACCTTTCTTAAAGCAATAACTTTATTGTATTAGCATTCTGTCAACACTTTTTCTCTTTGTTTTAATTTATAATACGTATTTTTACGAAGAATGGCAGTTAAGATGGAGTCTTGGGGTACAATGGACGTTAATAAAGTGACAATCATAAACGGACACTCGGCTGTTTAAAAATAAAGGAGATGTGTCAAGGTGGGAACATTTTTAAAGCGCTATTTCACCAATACACACATTTGAGCTTTTTTTGGTGTTCAGTAAAGTGCAGGATGGGTTGTGACGTACAATTTGGCGATAATATGCCATCACTGTTATGATTAAAGGCGCCCATAAAATAGCTACAGTGGCTCCACCCAACACAGTTACTTCGCTTACACTTAATAACTTTTCTTCCATTTCACTTTAACAGAAGCGAAAATTCACCAGTGAGAATTATGCAGATTTGGACGATTTGGTGTCGATTTTCAAGCAGTTTGACAACGATGACAACGGTGAGTCACTACTGATTTTTTGTGGAAGACTCCTTCCATTTTGGGTATATTCGTTTGTAGGCCATTTTCAATGACCCACTAACCTTGGGTCATTTTTCAAAAACAAATGAGTTTGTTTTTTTTTACTGAAATCGTATTTAATGTGACTTTTTTATTGCTTACTACAGCTCCGATGTTTTCGAGCGGCTTCTTGCATTTGCGACAATGATAGTAACCAAATATTTTCAAAGTGTCACACTCATTTTAGGCTTTGTGAGTGTTGAAAAGTTCAAAGAGAAATGCAAAAAGCTATACACAGACAAGGGATTTCCATCTAATGACTCAACTATCAACAAGTTGGCAACGCTCTTGGACTTCAACAGCGACGGGATCATTGACTTTAATGAATTCATTGAGGGGTCCCGGCTTGTCAGGCAAAAGTGTGAGTGCTTACACCATTTCATTTGGGGATTCATGATTCAAAAGGTAACAGACTGCATGAGCTTGACTTAGTGGGGATGAAAACGCTCCCTACAGTCACGATCACATTACATTTCCATTTTAAGAGGAAGTATTTATTGAACTGAGCTCTAGAAGTCTAGATGATTTCCTTATAGCTGAAGACTTTCGGGATTTATAAGTAAGCGCCTAAAATTTGGTACTCAACTCCACTAAAATAGTCAGGGCTTCGTTGAATTTATTCTCAACTCAGTATTTAAGCACAAAATTAGAATTCCTTCCATCCAATGCTAGTGTAGCGCCCGAGTCTGCTCTGAAGTCCTGAAGCGACGTACAGAAGGGCTGGGTGGTGGAGCTATCGTCCTGGCATTAGGCCGTTTCGCCGGGTGGAAGTACAATGGCCGTGCCCTTCATTACCCTCGTAGCCAAAACGAGAAATTAAACAAAAAATGAAATATTACACTGTCACCTCAAAAAAATACTCCTTTATATATTTTCACCGTCTAGACTGTGGGCTGGTCAATCACAAGAGAAGGGAAGGGCAAAAAGAGTAGTGTCTCGTTTGTCCAGTGCAATAGTCAAGCCCTAAAAGCGGTTTCGTTTTTTGGGTTGAACGTACTTTCAAAAGCCTCTAATTAAATTCGCCTTACGTCAAATGTCAAAAATCTTCGGTTCTTAACGTAGACAAACAGAATGACTGCCATAAAACTACAAGGGCTAGGCGAACGGCAATCACCCTCCTGACTGCCCCTTCCGATAGGGACGTTGCAATTGCAGTTTCTATCCTAAAAATTCTTTTTTTGTTTTCATTCAGGACCTAACAAATAAAAGGAACGAATTTCTACAGCAACTTGTACTAGAGTTGTATGTGTATGTGTTGTACGGTGCTTGTCACCTATCCTACTTTGTGATTATTTTGACTGGTTATGTCAAGTACGAGACAAATTTTCCTTATGGACGGAAAGTTCCGGAATTGCAACATTTGTCCCATTTGTTCTCATAAACTATATTGCGATGTATTAGAGAGCGGCTTGGCAATTATTACTACCAACAATTCTTTCACAGACCAACAACCGCCGACCTACGTTCCTGTCACAATTTGACGTCTAGACAACTTATTCATTTGAATTATGTAATCTCTTTCGATGTGGAATAAAGAAATGGTCATCAGTCTAGTGTTGCCCCTAAAGGAGGCAGGAAGCTTTGACTCAACTCACATTCCAGTGTTTTTTTTTGCATGGAAATTGCCTGATCACGACTAGATCATTATAAGTAGTCAAATTTGCCGTAACATGCGTTTTCTTAATAGAAGTGGACATCTCTAATAATCGTTCATTACACCCCAGAAGTGTAAGGTGACAATTTTTTAAAGATACAAGTATAAAGCATCAAAATTTACTTACTCCATTAGTAGACAAGCGTGATTCGTTTCCCTAGCACAATACAAGTGATAGTGCTTTATTTGGCAGACTGCAGACTCCAGATGCCCAAGTGCTTCCTTTACGGAAAACGAAATAAGCGCGAGGGAAAAAGCCACCACGGGTAATAAGTCATTCAGTCTAAATTTAACCTACACTGAGGGGGCAATTTTATGGAATACCATCATCCAGGTCTTCAAGGAGGTATTCCAACTTTGTGACTACCCTATTCACACTTATTTAATTAGGGGTCTACTTCTTTCCTATTTAGCTTCACGATTTTTCCATATTCATATATTTAAGGAGTAAAATACTTGACTCGAAATCGAATGATTTTCCACCATCAAACGTTGATCATCCATATTTCAGAGGATTTTTCATAACTGTTTGCAGTCCATTCTCGCTATTGTGAAACGTGAGCATACCAGGATTCCTTTTAATTAGTCTGCAGTTCCGACGGTCGACGTTTTGTGGTTCGACGTGAAAGTTAATTTAAACTAGTTTCTTTAAGGTTTAAATACGCATTGGATACTATGACTACTTGGTGCCAAGCAAGAGGACCCACTTATTAATCAATGTAGATTCATGCTTATGTACTTGTTGGTGACCTAAAAGGTGGTGGTCTTATGGACACCGGGAGTCTAGAGGCGGTGATCGAGGTATAGAAGATTAAGGCTTCATTGTCGGACAAGAAATGATTAAACAAGCTCATATCTTTTAATACATCACAAAAAATATCCACGAAATTGATTTTAATGAGTATTAAAAACTTGAATGTCGTCTACTCAGTCCAACCCGACATTGTGTTGTTTGAAATGGAATTTACTCAGAAGCAATGGATTAATTAAAACACTGCCACTGCGCTCCACAAATAGCATTTTCTGGACATAAAATGCACGTTACTTTATTGTTGGGGACACTTTGTTGCATGCGTCAGTTCCGAGGGTTGGGCTTTTACGGCACCAGCCTAGGCTATCAGCGCTGCTCAAACAGTTGGTGGAAGCGCCAGAAGTTATTAGAACAACCAACATTAATGTGACATGAACATTTTATGCATTTTCACTAATAATGAAGCGCTTTTCCGGAACCATATTTAGGGAAAAGTTTGTAGGTTAGTGGGAATTTTGCAAACCCGTAAACGTTTTTCGCCTGATTACAAGCAGTTAGTAAATTTTGCGGCCTTGTTCAGAAAGTGAAATTGCCGAGCTGTGGTAGAAGCAAAACGTTGTGATGGTCCTACCTCAACTTATCCATAGTTTGCCAAGAAAAGTACTCCAAGTATTTGACTGGGTTTGTACTTTTAGTAAAAAAATTGCGTTTACTGAATGTATAAAATTTTACAGTGCAATTTGAAGCTGTCTTGCTAAAAACAGAGTAGAAATCGTGTTCTGTAGCCATGCAATGGAGTTCCGTGGCACTTATCATTGCTTTAAAACATAGCTTTACTGAATCAGCTTTCAATAGAGCGAAATTTCTAAGTTAAAAGGATGTTATATTGGATACTTTGCCTTACTTTTAACGCAAAATTGCTTTATTAGAGATGAATGCATAAAACGCAACATTGAGTCGCCTGGTGTGGAGGTCATCTTAAGAATGCAGATGAATGGTAGTGGGTGTGATGTCAGCTGTAAGGGAGTAGCAGAAGGAGCATTTGCAGTCAACGTACTCAATGTTATAGTCATTGATGTAATCGTATTGCTGGCGTTGTTGGAACTGTCGCTGCAAATGCAGGTAGGTATGTATGTCTATATATATAATGTAATTTAGATATGTATGCATATCAAAAGGAACGCAAAAATCTGTCAGACGATGGACAGGCCTTTTTACAACAACTCCACCAATTTGCTTGTGGCCGTACCCTCTTCCCTCTGGGTCCATTTAAACTCGGTGGCTGGTGTGGGGAAGCATGTACGATGTGTGTGTAGACCAGGAGTGGGTGGCGGCTAAATTTACAGAGGTAGTTTGAGGAGGGGAGGAAGGGTAAATGCGACTGCTTCGTACCGCATCAGTTGCAGGTGGAAACGACCACCGTTTTCTCACATGTCTCACACCGCACCTCACAGCACCAGTGGAACTTGCATTTGCACTTCTCCTGTTGAATAAACACCTCTCTGCGATAGTCGCGACCACAACAGAGGAAATTACAGTTATCAGGCCCCTTAGAGTCGACACTGCAGCGTCTACCATAGGTCCCAATGCTACCGAAACGGGGGTCGTGGTGGCAGTAAGAGGGCGAACGGGTGGTGTAGATGAGCTCGTTCTCCTTCAGCATCGGCAGCCCCGCCAGACTAGCACCAACAGGCACCGAAGACTGGGCCGACGGCGAGGGCTGTGGTGGTCCGGAGGGTGAGGGGCGATGGTAGAGTGCTGATTTTGGTACAAGGCGGTTGTTTACGTAGTCTACCATTACCGCCTCTTGGAACAGTTCACGAAGCTGAGTGCCCACAGAGCGAAAGTCGGGCAGTGCGCGCCAACATGTCCGCATCTCGCAGGAACCGCTCACCCCGTGGCATTTGCATTTGATATCCATTTTTTTCACTACCGCCTGCACAAGAACAAGACTTTTCTGGCATCCATAGTTACTGCAATCTGGTCTCTCGAAATCCATTAAAATTTGTCAGGCACATTCTCAAACCTCAGTAATAAGATCTTAGCAAAAACTGGAAATTTCCCTGGTCAAGTAACTTTCGTACCTTTTACTATAAATTGGTCGCATTTGCAAACTTTTCGAGTCGAATTTTACGGAACACTGGAGTGAATGAAAATTTCTCAATTCAAATTTTTTTAACAATCAGCAGCTTTTGCAACACTTTTAACACTACAGAATCTTCTTCTTTGACACTTTCCAAAATAGGCATTTTTGCTCAAATCATTTATTTAATTCCTAGTTGAGCAATGCACTTTCCTTTTTCTTTACCATGGGTAGACGATCAGCGTAGGCGTCAGCACTTTCGAATAGCTGTATGATACGTTTAATCACTTACTGGCAAAACTTCACTTATCAGTAGTAGTTGACTAAACCTTTACTTGGCTTTAGACTGAGAATGATCGCTTTTTTTTCTCAATATACATTTTCTTTCAGTAATCGGGTTTTCTTAGCACCATTAGTTGTTCAAGTTCGGAAAGTAGTTGCTATTGAAAAAGATTAAAGTAGGGCAGTTTGTTCCACCGCCACCTACTTGTCGACCGACGTGGTTGTTGTGTAGATTGGTGAGTCCTAATTTGGGATTTCTCTGCACACGTCCCCTTTCGCGTGAGTCGAGGAATTTTCTAGAGAACGCTGCACCGAAGTGGATATTGTCAGAGCAGCCAGACCACTCAAAGTTGGGCTGTCGCTCATGGTCGTAGATAGTGCGGTCGCAGCCACAGCTGTCGTGCATGCCCGAGCTGCAGGCCTTCGTCACTGCGTGCGATATGCCCGCCGAGGTGACTGCTAATACGTAGGCGGATTCGCGTGTTCCTATAGTGGGACACCTCATCAATTTGTTAATAGTACTAACTTGTTCCTAAACTCATATCCGCATAATGTGGCGACGGTTTATGCCACAAATAGTAAAATCTGGCCAGTTGTCTTATCGCCTCGCAACCAGGAAATAATAAGTCCTGGCTCTTTTGTACCACCGCAATATGGTTCTCTCTATCTACCCAAGCACAGTCTTATCTAAAATGGAACAAAGGTGGTGATCTGTTATGCTAATCATGTGGCCTGCGTTCACCACGCTGCTCAATGTTGTTTGCCTTGATAAACAGAAATTTTATGCTTTTAGCCACGGATCCCCTCGTAATCCCAATGGAGCATTTCCTTTGTTTACATTTTGCTCCTGTCCTCTAAGTAATTTGTGAGCCAGCAACTGACCTAGACTGGATGAAGTTGGCTCTCCGAATATGTCATTACAAACGCCTGCGCATGTTTTCAGCAGGAGGCACATGCTAACAAAAATTAAGCCAGTGAACTTTATGGAGATGCACAATACAGAATGCCATGACATTTATCATCAGAAATTACAAAATTATCTCACTTTTCTATCGACACTTAAAACATGGGAAAGTTGTTCGGTTTGGTGATATTAGTAAATTGCATGAAACTGAACCACACTATCTTTTGAAAGGCTTGCAGGAAAGTCAAGCATATGTCAGAAAAGTAGAGTAAAATTAGTTCAGTTTTGTTGCTTTCAGCACAATTTATAGCTGTAATGACATGTGAACCGTACGTTGAACACTACACTCCGGGCTGCAAGTTAGACTAGGTGTCAACGCAGGGCTATTAGGGAATTGATGGAAAATCTGTCAGTTTATAAATGGTGCCCACCATTTCCATTCACATCGCAACATGTTTTGTTTACCGGGACAGTAAATACAGAAAATAAATTCATATCCGTTAGCATTTAAAGAAAAGCAGTTTGTGTATTTCTAGTATGCAATAACTAGGCTTCACTTGGATTCCATTATAAAGCATTGCTATTTTGAAGGAACAACAGCCAACAGTTTTGTGCATTGGAGCCTTCAGCGCATGGATTTCTCATAAATCCAGCGTCCGCCATTGATCATCACAGCAATTCTTTAAAAAAAGTGGTATCGTGGACAGTAGTGATGGGATAAAAGCAGCGAGGTAATTAAATTGGTTAGTCTCCGCAACAAAGCCATTGGGATTTAAGCCTCCCATTTACCTGCGTAAAATGGTTAAGTTAAATTATTTTCTTCCCTTTTGCAAATTGAATTGAACCGCATGTCCTTATGGCTTATTATATGACTTCCATCAATGGCTTAGTTTTACAGAGTAAGGGTTAGTGGAAGTACGGATAGTGAACAAGCAGCGTGGCTGTTATTGTTTGCACACAAAATAATTATCTTGTCACTGGCACTTGTGTCAACTTTTTCTGCTTAAAATTATCCCTCATGCCAAGAATCGACAATAGCTGTAAAAGTAGCTCAGTTATTACAACAAAACTGTTGCGCACAATAAGTGTTCTGTAGACTAGGACCAGCAAAGACCATGAGAGTAAACACCTATGTACATTGAGAATTGTTAATCAAGGTTTTGTAATACTTAGAAGAAACACTATGGAAGTTGGGAGAAAAGCTCAGTACGCCTGCGGATTTTGAATCGAACAACAAACAAGTGCTCATTTAAATACTAAACTAAGAGGTTCTACGTAAATCACTGCCATGTCCCACTTGCCCCTATTTAGTTTTACGGTTTAAACACCCCAATCCTAGTACCTTCGGTGACATCTTTTAAGCAAATGGAAGTCATAAATTATGGTAAATCAACACGTATCTTTTAATTCATTTCTTAACTCGGCTCTATTAACCAGGGGTGATGGGGGCTTAATGACTACCCTAGCATAAGTGTTGCATAGTCAACGGCAGACGGTTGTTTGGATATCCATTTCTAATGAATGGAAACATGCCTTTGGCGCTTGCTCCTGAAGCTGACAGACTGGCCACCTCGACCGCGTGACGTGAGAGCATGCGAGACGATGGTCGCAAGCCCGTCTAGAAATGTGGTCGTGAGGTACATGATCAGGGGAGGTAACAAGGGTCACTCCGTCCTTCCGACCCCACTCCCCTTTTCCAGCGCCTGTCCAATATGTGGTCTGGTCACCGAGAGGGCCTCTTGAGACGCAACCCACAAATGACTACTCTGTTGTTGGATGTGTCGGCGTTTTGACGGTAGCCGCTATCCACCGGCTAAGACGACAACGACGATGGCAGGAGTAGTAGGATTAACAGCGGTGTGGAGTGAGTCACCCTTCGCCAACGGTCTCTAAATTTATCCCCCTTAACTCTGCCCTCTGCCTTTCTCTTGTGTCAACCGGCGCGCATATAATGGCGTTGGATAGCACAAGGGAGCACGATGCAGACAATATTTGAACACTAAAGAGCAGCTCAGTCCCCTTGGGCATCTCATCTGACTGAGTCGAGATGGCATGACGGGAGACAGAAACATCTAAGTTATCAACGGTTTATGTTGATATTGAACCACTTGCTTGACATGCTCTCCTCCAGGGTCAAATGTACGCGATGCCTTTTTTAGGCCCGGTAAATTGATTACATCAAATCCTATCACAAGAGGACTAATTGAGTTTTGGAAAATAAAATGCTTGCAGAGATTTTCTAACCCGAGGGTATTTACGTTCTTTTAAGACTTTAACAGCATAACTCCAAGTAAAAAGTAGCGGCCGACTAGTCTACTTAGCTTTTCTTGATTACTTTAAACAGAATTTATCGTCTTGACTTCTTGGGAAAAGAGCATTTCGAAATTGGGTCCACCACAGCACGTAATCGACACTGGACGAAATGCAGCCCCTAAAGGGAGACTAAAGTTGCTAATAAAATGCCAATCAGAGATTTGCTAGTACATCAGCTTTCAATCAACACAGCAAATTCGTGTGATAGCAAACGTCGTAATTCTTCATCTGGTTAAAAACAACCCGCCTATCGGTGATTACTTTTCCACAAGTTTTAAGAAATAACATAATTGCCTCAATTGTTGGAATATTTTTTTTTAAGAAATTGAGTTACATTTTGTCTGAGTTATCAAGCTAAGAGAGTGTTTCCAGTGTGAAATAGCTCTTTTATTTGCCTCTGACCATAACAAGCTATCTCCGGGGAGGAAGCGGACACTAGTCTTTATCATTAAATTGCCCTACCCTTAAGGCTAGAAAAATTATCTTGGCTAGTGGAAAGGGCATTCTTTATCCCACACCCAGTCTTTTCTCAGCTCTGCAAAATACTACTTTCTCAGCTTAAGTGACATCAGATTTTGTGTCCTACTACTCTGTGTTAAAAGATATGTCATGCTTGAAAAAGTTCGGTGCCGTTGTTGAAGCTGATGAGGACTATTTAGCGTCTACTAGCTCCAAAAACAGTCTGCAAAGCCATTTTTCCATAGGTGACTCCGAAGGTAACAACCTCCAAGTGTACGCGCACCAATCGCTCCATTCTCTCTATTTCGGAAAATAGGGTTGGAATCCCCGCCTCTACCTCTGCCCTGCAATTTCATATTTGAACTGAACCTTTTTAAGAGTACGAAAAGAGGCCTCTGTTGGAAGTAGAGGCGAATTAGTGGGAGGACAAAAATGCCGTAGAGAGCGATTAATCATGGACAAGTGTGTAGGCGCTTTTGTACACGGGGATGTTTTCGACGATCTGCTTGACATGAGGGCGTAAACAAGGTGCACCAGCACTTCTGCATTAAGTAGGGGCACGCCAAAACCCTTCTTAGTCATGTTGGCAACCAAAAATTCAACTAAGCACAGCAGTATTTATAGAAAAACTTGGCATTGAAAAGACGCTTATGGAATGCTCTCATTTGCTAGAGGAGAAGTTGTTACGGTTTCCCAATTAACTCAACATTGAGAAGGCTTGAAGTCGTCCCACTTGCAGAAGGGACTGCCTCAGATCGGAGAACCTGCCACTAGTACTAATGAAATGCAAACGTACAAGAGCCCTTTCCGTTGTTTGTAAATCCGACGGATGTGTTATTTATGGCATGGAAAGTACTTGCAATGCAGCATCCGCATGAAACTTTACTGTCTCAGATTCAATTAGCAAGGCTAAAGTGATCACAATAAACAACCGGTAGACAGAAAAATTAGTTCAAGGAAGTTAGCACTAATTTTTAGCTACTAAGTTTTTCCGAATCTAGTTATTTCGAAGGTCATTGAAGGCTCTGAAAGGTTTGATTAAAAGAAAAAAAGAGGCCAATGCCTCTTATGGTCAAAGCTTGAGGGGCTACAATAGAGCTTTGAAAGCTGAATGATGTAACAGTTTCCTCCTTGAACTGGCTGATGATACTCATGAAATGTTCAGACAAGTCGGTGTACTTTACTTTAAGCAAAAGTTCATATTCAACTGTTAGGTGTTTAAATTTCGTACCCTTAGCTCAAATCCTTAATCCATTAGTGGACTCACAAACAACGGAAAGGGCTTTTTTACGTTTCCATTTCATCAGTACTAGTGGCCGGTTCTCAAATCTGAAGCAGTGCCTTCAGCAATAACTGTTTGACCGTCCCACAAAACCATGAAATCGAGTCCTCTTGAACCTAGATGTAGAAAGGGATCCAAGAAGGACAAAGAAAAATGGGGAATACTCAGCTTTGGGTCAAAATAAAAGTATCAGCTTAACTTTCAAGCCCATTTATCAAAATTTTACTTTGTATTCGCTGAATGCAGGTCAATGTGATAAAGGGGCATTAATGCGGAATTCGCAAAATTAATTTCTCTTCATTTGGGGTAGTCTTACTGGTTGGATTGATAGATGAGATTTGTTAGCAGTCAGATATGACAACTTCTTGCCGATTTATTAGACCTATGGCGGTAATTGTCAAGGCATAAACTCCGCATATCTTGCACTGTGATATAAGCAAAGAGTCCTAGAGGACGACAAATAATTAAATAGAATCGATTCAAAACTAATTGGGGATTCTAGTAAAAAGCTGTCAACAAATTTCACGGAGTTTATTTTTTAGTTCCACTCAAAATTAATGAATCTCTCCACACCCAGGTTGAATGCTCACCATATAATGCAATCCAAATTAGAATTCGCTGTTAGGTGAAAGGTGTTGGCTACCAGATTTAACAAGGCTTTTCTATCTAGAAACACTGCAGTCGAATCGGTTCTATGAGCACCGATTGCGTGAAATATGATATTAAATAGCCTTACAGTGTGGAAGATGTAAAATGTCCAAGTATGCTAAAATAGGTTCACCTTTAGTTCCAACTGAAGATGCTTACGAAATTCCAAAGCACATTTTGAAGAATTTAGCATCAAATCCGCTAAAAGTGGACGACTGTAGTGGAAGAACGATCCACATAGAGGGATTAGTGAAACGTCGTGTGCTTTATTCAGCTAGAGCTTTTACTAGCCCATTCAACACCAATGTAGTACGTTTTTAATAATGGCACACCCATCATGGTAACGTCGTTGGTTACTGAATTTAGCGCCTAGTTTCTTATTTAGGAACAACAGTAGTGTTGTGAATAGTAATTTTGTAAGGAATTATGCCGCTAAAAGACACTAGAATTAGTGGTCCTAGAAGGCCGACGAACAGCGGTAAAATTTTCAGTCATTTCCTGCAAAATATGAACTTAAATTGGACAAAATCAGACCACCAAAGTAGTTGACAAATCACATAAAAATATTTTATTCACTTGTAATCTTATATGAATTTTCCGACCTATCACTGCTAGCAAGTAGATTTTGTCGGTCTGCAAATTAAACAAGAGATTTTCGGCCTCAGAAAATCTAAAATCAACAGTTCTATGGACAGTAATGTGAAGGATGGAAGGAGTCGATTCACCTTTAAACTAACCAAATCGGCTAACGCAACTTTCCAAATAAATCACAAAATACAGAGTTAGTTTCGTAATATTGAATCGCCGAAATGGATGAGAGTATGCAAAAACCAGTGAAAGACTTTTCACCTCATTTTGGTCAAGCGATCTACAGAGTCCCTTCAAATTTAAGTCTTGACAAACAACTGTGATTGAGTGACACACTTTAAAGCAGGTATGGTGACGACGTCTTGAAAAATACTGATTTCAGTAAACTACGAAGTTAAGACGAACTTGGTAGTATTGTGGAGAAAGAAGCTGACTGGGGCCTTCAGGGCCGTGAGAGTGTCTTGCAGGACTAAAATTAACTAATCATGCCCCAGAGTGGAGGTACCTCAGGAGCTGATAGAGGTATGCAGGCGAAAGAATGCCTCCGAAATCGTTCTAACGGATGTGCCAGTGACTTAGGCCCAGCACACATGTGTGTGTGTCTGTAACGGGGCCAGAGTGTCGGGTCGGAGCGGGTTGGAGTGAGGAAGCGGGAGGAACCGAATCGAGTGGTACGAGGGTACCACACAGATGCTCCACTGTGCACCAAGACGACATTTAATGGCCACTCTTGCTCCCTCACTCCCTTCGATGTAAACAGCTGGCTATCAGAAAAAAAACGAATGCCAAAATACACACCCGCGAGCGCAACGGCCGTTGGGTTCAGCAAAAAAACCGCCTTCAGCCCAAAAAATGAACAAGTGTGATTGATGTAGAGGAGCCTAAGGGCAACTGCCTGGAAGCATTCCTCTTCATTTAGTGTAGGTGACTTCCGCTGCAAATTACATTCCTCCGTCTCATGTGCCACTAAGTGACTGTTTTATCAAACTTTTCTATCACTTAGTAGAAACCTGTAGCCCTATATTAAGTCAAAACATAGACATTCTAAATCTGCTTATCCAATTTCAAGTCCTGTCACATATTCAAGAGATGAGTAGAGCTGGAGAGTCAGTAAGAGCTTTCAAAGCGGCAACTGAATGAGTGTCAATTACCACCATCAATTAACGACAAATCGAGGCAAACAGTACCTCAAAACAGTCCATCGGGATGGGTGAACCAAACTAGCTGCCTGCTCCAGGTCTCTGGAACCGGGCCAAATTTACGCATTTATGGGAGCCTCGCGTGTAGAATGGGAATCCATGTATCAAAGCGCCAAAGTGTCCCATGGGATAGAATATGCAGCGAAAATGTGGAAATATTGCTCAAAATGCAGCTTGCATTACCGACGGCAAAGATATGCAACTGCGATCGCTGCAATAATGCAAATCTTTTCAGGCAAACACACTACACCTCATCTTGCAAACTGAACAAGGAGTATTTAGAGGGGCTAGTAAAATGGATTCCAAAAAAAATTGTGAAAATCTCAAAATTTGCGTGGCCGAGGGGTTGATGTTTTTGATTCTAGGTTCATAAAATCCTACAGAATGATACAATTTGCCCCTCTGATGGAAGAACAAGCCTCGAAAAGCTGCCTACTGGCGACTTTCAAAATAAGTAATGTGACTAAGCGTATTTCCACAACGATGGTAACACAACAGAGATATCTTTTGGCCCAGTAGAGAGTGACCTTTAGTGCCAAAGAAATAATCTATCTTGGCGAAAAAATGAGTGTATGGATAACAAAAAAGGCCTCTTATCGACGGATTAAAATAATCATGCAACATGTATATCTTCACTGTGTGGTGTTTTGAAGGGGAGTAATGTCTGCAGATAAATATTAGAAACTTTCTGCATTTTGGGAGTGATTTGCGCTTAAATTTTCATAAATAGGATCGAGCAAGAATAACTCCGTGTGGCAGTCTTGGAAAAAGCTCCTTTCTTGGTGAGACTACCATAGATCCGATAATGCTATCAGATATTCCAACAGTTTTTGCATGAGTCAGAACGAAATTAGAAATTCATAAGCAAACAACAGTTTGATGATCTTACAGAAATCTAATTTGTGCGAAAATTAAACATGTTTTCGCCAAAAAACCGAAATAATAAACATGGGATCACTTGATAATTCTCTTCAGTAAAAAGCATTAGAACCGATGTAAAAGTTTAAAAATTTACTTCATCACCGAAAAGTAAGACTTCTGAGGCTCCCTCCCCCTCCCCACTAAACGATGGGTGCATGTTATATCAAAATAGCAAACTCTACTGTAATTTATGCGTCTGCCTTCCGGCCAAAAATAAATTTAAGTCTTTTTTATTGCTCCTAAACCCCATCGTACACGCTAACACACAGACACTGATGCACCGTGGAGGTCAAGTCAAGGCTATTGCAATTCCGCATTTTGCCACATCCACCACCCTAAATAACAACTCGTCACAGCGCCGTCTGGGCACCTGCACCGACCTGCGGAATGAAGCTTCCGGTTTATTGGTCTACAGGCTGTACTGGAATTTCTCAGAAGTGGTCTCGCATTCAATCGGACCCTGAAGCGACTTAATTCGTGCTGTACCCGCTAATGTCAAAAACGTCAGTCATCCCCAGAGTTGGATTGAGATACACTCCCTCCCTATCTCTTGAATAAGGGTACATCAAATGGCTTGTTTGATCGCCATCGTTAACTGAAAGTTACTATCTATCTTCATTTGAAAAAAGGAATTTACCCTTTGATATAGCTGTGAAATTTCTTAGAAGCTTTTCTACTCCAGGTATCTTTCCATAATTTCACTAAAACATAGCTCTGAAATCGCTTTGATACGATCTGAATCCATCGTGAATGGGCTACTTGCTTGGAACTTTTATGTTGGGTAAAGTTTGATGTACTTTGAAAACCATTTCCACTAAGGATATGCACTTACTTCCACCTGCACGATGGGAAACTATCTTAAGTTAAACATCTAGAGCCTAATATTGTTGAACCTCCTTCATACTTCTAACTCCTTTTGGAGAGGTAATAGATCATGACGGAGTCCGGTAATTTTGGCATTTTAAATAACATTTACTATGCTCTCATTAAAACAACGTTGTGAACACAAGGCCAGCAGAAGCAATGACTCAGCCAGACAGCTGGTGCAATGATGACAAAAATTCGACTTACCGCTGGATAAGAGGCGGTCCATGTATGTCCTCACGTGTTTCCTCTTCGAGCGTCCTTCTATCTGACTTGATCGGAGCACTTTTCCCGGTTTCCTCCTCGAGGGTGAACTACGAATAGTGAGGTTATATCCTAGGCAGTTCCACCGATGTGCTGCAAACTGGTATTCGCATTCACGCAGACCCATGAAGTAGCCCCGCACCACCGACTCCATCAACTGGATGTACTGCAAACATAAAGCACGCTGTTTTCGCAGAAAACCGTTCGGTTGGTCGCAGATACTCGACTTGAGCCGGCCGTCGGGCCCAATGTGTTCAGACACCTTGCGATTCTGCATCCGCACCACACCACTGGAAGTACTGATGGTTGGAGGCATTGGATCATAGAGACTGCTACGATTCCCTAATAAGTAAGCACTGCCACCACCTCCACCGCCACCACCACCGCTGATTCGCTCTGAGATGAGAACCTTATCGTTCTCATGGTTAATTCCCGAGAGGACCGGATCATCTCGCCCCGACTCCACTAGCATTGTGCGGAGCTCATTACTGAAAACAAAGGGAGGAAGGAAGAAAAGTAGTGGTAGGGTGAAAACATTTGTGTGGAGCTTGGTCATGGCGCTCAGTGCTCAATGTCGTATTGCATCCAATGAGCGCTAATTGCTTCGGCGGCTTGAGTGTCGTCATGGTGGGTAACGTTGTCCCTCGCATGCTCGTGCGCACGTGCTGGTAGCTGGGATGCCTCCGCCAATGGGAGCGGAGGAGTGGTGGAGAAGAGGTGCCAGGTGTTTGGTGAAGTGATTGGCTGATATTTTATCATCCAGAGACTTTTTACAGTTGGAAAAAGCTGTTGACATGGTATGGCATTAAGTGGCCTACTTAATTTAGACCGTCAAGTGTGCGTCTGCGAAGTATGTCATGATACTGGGCTTCATCTGCCGATTTCATGGGCAATCCAAACGCCATGGCACCGAGCCTGTCATGAGAGTGAAATTCCTACATATCTGTTCACATCGTTTCCAAGTGTGCTATCCCGCATACTTGGCTACCTGCATGTGTGCATCCACGGGCCCACAATACGTCCGCAAGATAAGTCTCCGTTGGGTGGAATACGAGGTCATATGTTGGTCATAGGAATCCCAACGTAAATGTATTTTGCCATACTTTCAGGAAAAAGAAACTAGGCACGAATTTTAGGATTCGGAAAACGTGTAAGTGCTAGGATTTTAGCCTTGAATATAATCGGTCATTTGGATGCTTGTGGATTCACTACCTTTAAATGTAAAAACCAAAATTAACAATTCATGTTCTCCAAATTCTGATGTTCTTACCTTAATTTTATTTTTTTTTTTTTATTAAGAAGAGGAAGGGAAACCGTTTAGAAGGCAAATTGTGGTGCACCCAAATTGCAGGATGGCTGTGTAATTAAAAGCGAGCAAAAGTGGTTTCAAAACGATTTCATTCCTGAAGAAAACCAAGACATTCTCTATTTCTATAAAATATATAGTGTGGTTCAAGGCTTCACCTATTTTAAGGAAATGTCCTTTCAACTTCTTGAAATTTACTAAACTACTGGCGGTTTGTGTCTTGTCTCAATATCACGGAATCGGCGGTCTCAGCGTATCCTGCCATTGCGTCCCGTCGGGAGTGACAGGTATGACAAATGCCTCCACATTATGGGTTTACCCGAAGAGGCTCCTTACCGAGCACATAGACTGCACTGTGTGGCAAAAATCCGGGTTAATGCAAACTCGATGGCGTGCTCGGAGGAGTCACGGGGAGAGTCGCATTGCTAACATGTTGAGGTTTTCGCATCCGGATAAAACCATTGTTTTCTTCCCCTATTAGTTAGTTTACTTGTTCGTTTTTAATGTAACCGTTAGCATTCCATTGGACACGGTTAATTGTTGTCGCTTGCCCTTTTCTGTAAGAATATCCTTTATTTGACTGAACCATTCCTTTTGCTAGCCCCCTAGTGCTTTTAGGCATATCAAACCTCTATTTGATTGCTTGCACACTGCTTATCTAAAAATGTAGGGTCACCGCGATTAGGTGGTACTCGATGCAGCCATTACATTCATATGACAGTAGAGAAAGTCGAAGCATTCTAGTCTCAGGCAAATAACTGTTCCAACACAAGGATCGCATACTTCCGATTTGGAACTTTAAACTCCACTGTGCTTATCATTTATTATTTACTAGTCCAAATGCTCTTTTAAATGTCAATTTCCATAATTACAGAATTTCACATGTTCGTCACTAGTCTTAGAGGAGATCAACCACCACATTCCAAGTACTGTACGGTTCCAATATGCCAACATTTTGCCGATTAAGCTGCTGCTGGTTAACTACAAAGTGAAAATTAACCTCAAACCAAGAATGTCTCAAATCTGCTTTCTTGTTGTAACCAACCCAGTCAGATGTAATTTAGTACAGTGAGTTATCATGAACCGGTACAAGGCGCATGCAACATGTGTGGGATGCCAAGTTCAGGAAAGAACATCGGGACTACAGCTGCGGAATTCTTAACGTAACACATAATCGGCCGTTTTAAATAACTATGGTTATTTCAAGGACCTCAAGTACTTCCGTTTAGTTTGTACAATATTTTACAATGTTTTCGTGCATACTTTACTTAGGCACGCACGTTCACTAGTTGCGTTGCGAGTCCCACTTGTTGCTGTTTTTATCATGTCACCAGCTTAGCGTGGTGTCCGGCGGATCTGCTTAGCTTCGCCGTATTTTCATCTGCAATCTTGGAAGGAGGGTCCCACACACTGTCACATGCGTCAGTGAATAATGCATCACTTGTGACACGACTATCACGTAAATAAACACCTTAGCAGATGTCTACTATTAAATAATAAAAAAAAACAGAAAAAATTTCCCGGTATGCAAACCGGTGATTAAATAATTCGTTAATATTTTCAATCACGGTCTTTTCTACATTGAATAGACGTGATGGAAGCGAGTGTGCCCCAAATGAAGCAAGTTACTGACTGACATTTAAGCCATGGAAACATTGTGTCATCAAAAGTTTAGTAGTGATAGATGAAATAAAAATTATATCTAGGATTTCATGAACTATTTCTCTTGCTAATTCCTAATTTGCCGAAAAGGAAACTTCTAATGTCAACTGGGTTGCAATTATATAAATTAGCCATGTAATTTACTGACTCGAAATAAAATGGAAAACACAAACGTTTACAAGATTTTTGCAATTTCTATATGGGGTAGTAAATTACAGTCCTAAAAGTATAATATGTATGAAATTCTAAGGATATTTATGCATAAAAGTTGTTCCATAAACCAAGACACCATTCTAGAGAGTGAACGAGTAAGAGGTAATGGTATCTCTTTAATGGAAAATCTTTAAAAAGAACATAAAATGTGGAACACGAAGTAAAAGTTATTGTATCCCAAAAGAAAAATCATGTCGCTATTTGATATTCTTAAACTTCATTTGAGAGGATTTTAAATGACTCAAAGGAATTGGTAGAATTCATTGCCAAGCAAGAAAAGCACCATCATGATTGTATAGGCATTAAAATAACCGAAATTCACTTAAGAGACAGTCCTATGCAGCACAAATATAGTGGAATGAAACAGAAGATTTAAGCTGTGCCGAGGTGTACTTTCGAGCTCATCTCACCCTTATATTGTTACTTAATTCTAAAGTAATATAGCTCATTTCCAAAAGTGGATAGGTATTCAAATTAATTAAAGAACTACATATCAAACATTTCTAAATCGTTTGGATAAACTACTTTCTTGCTAGTATATCAGAACGGAGTTAGAATGCCCCAGCGATTGGCAATTGACAGAGCTTTATGTTTGAATATGCAACCTCCCCAGTCTTCTGAGAAGCCGCTCACCACCTTCTCAAAAGAGAACTCAGACGTTACACATAAAGAGACACTGAAATACCTACATATTCAAGTGTTTGACTGTGATCTCTGCCATCGAATCGTTAAACATGTTATAACCTAAAAGTTTCAATGTTGATGGATCACCGTCGCCACACGCATTCTGAAATCTTCCAAACTTGTAAATTTATGTTAAGAGGTGTGTTCTCCACCCAACATCTGGGGAAATGAGACAGGAAATTATCTCAAGTTTACCTAGTTAAATGTGATGAATCTTTAGCTACAAGACCAATGAATAACTCGCTATATACCAGTACAGGCTTTAATTTCATGCAAGAAAATCAATTTTGATGGAAAGAGATGTTGACACTCTCCAACTTAGATCAGCGTCAAGAATCTTGGCTAAGTAGACAAGAGTTGAGAAATTTAAGAATAGCAGTGTAGATAGGCTAATAGTTCCATTCAGTCTCCAACGGACGAAAGGTAACCAAAACGTTGTGTAGCTGAAAGAGCTAAACTAAAGCCTCTCTTGATCTGCTTCTCACTAAAAAACATAATCTCGACTAATGATAAATTTTACCTACTTTCAGTTTTCACACTCCTACCATTCCATCACTATCAATTATTCTGCTATGGAAGAATGATTCACTCGCTAGTCCGTTCTGTGGGGCTTTTCCATGTTTAAACATCACATTTTTAAGTGCAGATTTGGATTGAAATAGCAAATATCTTAAAAAAATATGCCCTATAAGAGTGTGTAATCATTGTTCTGGTCTGTAAATAATGTACTGTAGTAATCACCTTTCCTGTTAGCGATTGGGTGTTGACATACCCCACCTGTGTGTGTAAACCGGCTGCCAAGGGACGTGGGGTCGCCTACTGCCCTGGTGCCCAACAATTCTCCCGAGTTTAGGATCGGCTTGTTACTTGGCCAGGTGCAGAAGTCAGCAGAGGCCTCGCCCTCTCTCTCTCCAGCTCAGCGTCTTCGCTGCGATGTGATTTATTACTTACCGCCCCCACCGACAGCAATACATTAACGCCGCCGTCTCGTTAAAATTTTGTTCCCCCAATTTCGGAATTCTTAGCCTTCTCCCCCTCCCCCTTAGTAGTGGTATTTAACCCGAGAGCACATAAGTGCGTACGTGCCCGCGTCCACGCAAACCGGCCAATTAGCATCCACCCCACCCCCAACCCTCACCCTCACGGACGCACACGCGCGTGCACACACGTTTGGACTAAAGCAATTAATCAAAATCTTCTGTGTACGCCACAGAAAGAGGGAGCGGGGGTTGGGAGGGTAGTGAAGGGGGTGAGGAAGAGAGGGGGTATGTAGGAGGGGGTGGGTGGTGGTTGTATCCCCACACCCATCAAATGGCTGATCGGGTTTCAGCTGGTAGTGTGCCCACCCCAGAAGCAGCAGTAGAGGCAACAACAACACTAGAGGAAAATGGCATTCATGTAATTTTATCATCATTTGTTTCGCTCTTTTTCCATTCCTCCCTTCCTCCACCATTTTACAACGGTGTATGTGTGTGTGTGTGTGTGAGTGAAGGTGGCAGGTTATGTGGCAAACAAATCTTTTTCAGGAAGGAATTGAGTGCTTGGGCAATTAGAAAGGCACAAAATTAACATCAGGCTTCAGAGAGGATTTTGATGGTTAAACCATCCACCAAGTATAGTCACAAAGTATGTGAGGTCTTCACACTATCCTTTAGACAGTTGTGCAGAAGAGAAGTAAAGTAAACACCAAACAAGGTAAATAACAACAAGAAATAAACTGCTATTTACCCTTCCAATAAAATTATGAAGAATAACCCTAGAATACTGAGATCTTCTTATGTGCTAGAACAACCTTGGAATGACTTCGCATTTATCAAATTCGCATAAAAAGAACAGAACAACCATCGAATGGTAATGTTTAAAAATAGTAACATCACGTTTCTTTAATTACAGGGCTGCTCATTACAAAGATAAAATCTTTGCAGAGAGATTTGAGTCAGAGGTAGATGGCTGCCTTAGTGCTTCTAAATATTTGAAGCAGCCAGGGTAGCATACAACTGGGGCCTGTTAAATTTCCACTTAGTTTGACAAGTATGAAGGTAAAATTTAGCAGAAATATTTTAAAGCGTTCATTGATACTAGTCTAACATGTCAGGTAGAGTTTTCATTTACTATATTCCTTCGGTTGTCAAATATTCATTCCGCCAAAAGTTAACTTAAATATGCTCTTGATGACAACAGCTGTCGATAGTGTTCACTTGGAATAGGAGGTTTCAAGCCCACTAGTGCAGTGGGTTAGGATATGGCCATACTGGAGATTTCAATCTCAACTCTATCAATATTCAAAGCATTAATATTCGTGTATTACGGTTGTAATTAGAGAGAAAAGCCGTGACACTTTTGTAAGGAAATTTTACTATCTCGGATATAATGTGTGTCCGCAATTCGACTGCATTTCCTAAGTTCCCCTTTGTCCAAACATGCCTTTCGGCATAAGGCGATAGCAACTACGTTGAACCTCCTACAATTTAGGCTACATGGTAATGCTACTTAAACCTGAACTTACACTGCAAGCATTAAAGAGCACTTTTAGAGTGCAACAAAGCAATTCTCCAAACGAAAATTCACCTTTGTTTAATTTTTGTCCTATTAAAGTCGTTAAAGAGCAAATAGGGTTTGACAACGACACAGAAAATAAATGAATTGTGAGTTAATCATAATTTTGACAGCTAACTTCTAATTATTAAATCTCACAAATTTCTCATCATGAAAGGATGCAAATTAAAGCATTTGGTAGAAGTTTTCTTGAGACATATTCACTTTGTAAACTTAATTTGTCCTCGAGGTATAAGAACTGAGAAACGACATTGTACGAAGAATTATTCACTTTCAATAGGCATGCCCTATGGAATTTCACACATGCCTTCCAAATCTACCTCAGGGCTTTACCAAATTTCTGCAGTATACCTTGTTTCCCATAAATTGAAGTACCAAGGGTTGGAATGAATGATTAATGGATTCAGATAGTGGATTTGCAATCTTTTCAAAATAAAAAAACTTTTCCCTGGCTAAAAAGGCTCGAAGGTTAAAAACAGACCTCGAAAAAGGAGATAGGGAAGCAAACAGAGCAATTAGGTGGGATGGGAAATGAGTCGAAATTTGGTACAAAGTGCATCTATTAATGCATTTCTTCGCTCAGTTATAGTGTAGAAAAATTGGAAAATGAGTAGGAAAAAAGGGCAATTACTTATAGTTAAAGGGCTATAAAATTGGTCAGATTCAGTAGTTATATCTTAAAAGGCTCAAAAATTTTCTATGGAAGGTAATTTATAGAAACTGCTTTTCTATTCACCTAGGAATGCACCTGTCTAATAGTTCTTAAAATCATAGAGCTTTGGGGCAAATTATAAGGCATATTTTTATTATTTGCATAAGCGTCCAGAATAGTTCTCCGCAATAGAGGGAGTATGGTAAGCAGGGTTTTTTCGCTACTGAATATTGCTTAGTAGCAAGTAATATTCATTCTCCAAAACTGTTCGAGGCCAACTTTTTATAATCCAACAGCATTTAAGGTGCAGGAGTACTTATTTTCTTTTTTTTCACTTGCATAATACCCCTAAAAATTGCACTTAAGCTCATTATCTTGTACCAAAAGAGGCTTTTAGAACCACTAATAGTTAAAAGTATTTAAACAACCGTACCACCGTCTACAAATAGATCATTCCCCTATAATTGTCTAAAGGCCTAATTTTATTACGTGATTAACTTATGAATCATAAGGAAAAAATCTACCGAAACATCTATCTAATTAATTTGATCAAGTGAATAACACGAGATTTTGTCATTTCTTTGTACAGTTTAGAGTCTTAAGCTCATAAGCAGAGAAATAGAACGGTTACTCACTATAAATAACAAAAACTAACCGTTTTAGTCTTAGGTATCGCAAAACAAAGCATCATGTGATCTGAGAGGCCTAAACCATCTGTGGAATGGGATGGAGGCTACCACATAGCGTAAATTTGCTCAATCCATCATCTGGCGATGCCAGATGTGCGCGCAATATGCTGGATAACTTAGGCTCGTCATCTGTGAATGTACCAAATCACAGTCAAAAGCTATTCAACAAAAACTTTTCCAGCACGATGCAGTTTAGCAATAAGAACACATTCAAAGGTAGAAGTAATTTTAATTTGATACATTTCGAAATTTGAACATTTTAGAGCTCCAACAAGGTCGGTACATCACTACAGCCACTTACACGCAGATGTATTTTATCGAGAAAATTGTGCATTTTATGTGAAAAAAATGTAAATTGTTTGGACATAGGTGAGAATCGCAGTTAATTCATAACCCAACAGGCCCTACACTGTGTCGAGAAAATAATAATCACTACGATGACATGAAATCTTATTAACAAAATTTTCGTATAAAATCGGTTTGCAAAGTCCCGGTAAATTCACTTTTGCGTTTTTGTTCCCAGCATTTTTTGGAAGGTTACTAGGCTAATTAATCTTTGAAAATCTCCCACTTCTTGAAAAACTCTTCTGGAAAATATTAGTCTGGAGGTGGAAGTCTCGAGCAATCCCAGACAGAAAAAGCACACACGATTGAAAATGGATAGCTGGGAATTACACACACACGCAGACGCTCACATTCATGTGGATATGGTCTTGACAAGCAAAAGAGGCAAAAACAATAAATTAGTCCCCAAGGCACGAGTGAGGGAGAGAGTGACAGAGAGATAGATACAGAGACAGGGAGAGAGAACTGGAGAGTGAGAGGAAGGTGAGGGCATGAGGAGAGGCGAAGGAAGAGAGGAGGGGGCTAGAGTGCAAGACAGGCATAGTTTCACTCATTAACCTTTTTCTTGAATGATTTATGCATTCCTCCTCGCCCTGGTTGACATTTTCCTTTGGGGCACACACATACCCAAACACAATTCGAGAACTGATTTATGGAATGATTTGTGGCCTTTTGGCATCGCCAGTCCTTCTTGCGTAACATTCTTCGTTCCTCTCGTAGTTCTACAAAAATCTGTGTTGAATCCTTTTTGCTGATACGAGTGGACAAAAGATCTATGCGCGACAGATATCTTACAAACTCTTAAATTCTCTACTGTAAAAAAGTAGCCGAGTCCGATCTTTGTATTCCTCGCAAAGACTATCAAAGGAGAGGCATCTTCCACTTTCTTATGTGACGAATTCTGTTGAAATGAAATACACTTATCATTTTCAATGTGTTTGAGGGAAAATGTTAGTAACTATCTGAAGAAATGTCCCTTGCTACTAAGGCTGCTACTCGGAAAACCAGGCGATTGGAGACATGTTCCTATAAATTATCATTGTTTATGCCGATACGAGTGACTCAGAAATACGGTTTGGAAGTGGATGCATATTTACTTTAGCTTTCTTCTGTAATGTTGGTCACTAGAAAAAGTCTAAAGACCTTTGCTTTAACGCATTCCCGAATCTATAAACACATTTTGGTGCTATGAGAGATCAACCTTTAGTAAACTTTTTAATGAGCAGCTGTTAATGGCACTTTTGCTCCGAATCCTGTCACCAACAATGGAATCCATCCCACATTCATCTCTCCGTCCATCCTGCATCCATTCTTCCATCCGCCCATCTAAAAACTCATTTTCCATAAAAAATCAATTAAAATTCAAAGCTTCTGACCTATGAAAGGCCTCACAATCCAACACTTAGGTATTCCTTAACAAAAATGATTAAAATTACATGGGTCTAAACCAAATATATAGTTAAACAATGTGGACAGAAATTATTTATGCACCGTATAAACGGTTGTGAGGTGAAAATCTCTGATCACATACACCGAACCTTCTGTTCCGTGAGGCCTTCCAACTCTGCTAAATCCCGTGATATGATTTGGCAGGAGGCAACAAACTACGGTTTGGAGGGTAATTAATCTCAGCTTTGGACAAAACAATTACAAGTATCGTGTTGTAAATTCTTTTTTGGAATTAATTAAAAGCGTAATTAAAGTAGCGTGGAATTCAATTTCGTGTTCTTCACCAACCCGCCAAGTTTTGATGAATCTTACGATTACTATCTGCTCGTATCAAATACGGCGGAAAACCCTCCAAAATCCTTTTCGTAGCAGCTGTTTGCGAGAATGCTAAACAATTTTTATTTTTGCGACCCAAAATCTACTGAAATCAATCATTGGCGTAAGAACAGTCTAAAGGGTGTGAAGAAAGTGTAGAGTGTGAAGGCGGAGAAATGCCTGCATTGTCGTGTCTACTGCGGTACCTCCAACGCCATGGAATATGCTTGGCACAAAAAAGGCATTTTGTGAGTAGCGCGGACCGATTTCCTGTTCATTCAGAATATGTGGAGGGTTATGATTAGTTTTGCCCTCCGAGTCTCGACTTTTACATAAAAAGATTGTGCGATGGAGAGTGAGAGGTTTTACGTGGCAAATGCTCTTTCAAATTTTGCTTGAATGAGCTCTGTAACTTTATCTCAACATTCAGAACAACTCCCTTTCAGGTTTGCAAAACGCTATTCAAATGGTCACGTTCTTGGAAGCATCGGTAATTGTATCCCTACTAGAAGTAGATCCCCTAACGGTTAAAAAATAATCGGATCGTAAAAATGACGGGATTTTGTTGTCCTTGATTCAGAAGCAAGTAAAATCAAATCAAATTGTTCTCTTCTTAGTAGTTCCTGGGACCCCGCAGTCCCTAATTGGTAACCGTGCTTATTTGCCCCAAGTCAGCAGGTATTGCGAAAAGCACAAGGGCTTATATTTTGCTGAATAATAGCATCTCAAATACCTCCGAGGACTTGTAATATTTCCAAAACATCAAAGTTGATGAAAAACTCCGCTAGGTTCTCTAATTTTCACAAAAGAGGTAATTTTTAATCACCCATTACTAAAGAATGTGATTAAGTTTTGAGCCCCAAGATTTGGTATATACTACTTAGAAGGTAAAATACAAAGCAATACGCTATACACTAATTAAGTATATTTGATTTGACTTTGTAGTAAAACCCTGTCACAACACTAAAAACGCCATTTTTAAACAAGATGTTAAGTAGAAAAGACCAGTGGTAAGAATGCTAACACCTCAAAAGAAATTAAAGGGAGTTATGGTCTTTGTTTCACGACGAAACGAAATCCCAGTTCCTTCCAAAAGGTGCCCTATGGGAAAATTTTAAGGTCATCAGTACCCATAGCTAAACAAAGAAACAAGTAGGCAAGTATACCAATCTCTACTGCTATGGAAAAAGAGGATTTATCAACCAAAAATCATCAAAAAGTTTTGCACTCTCTGTCTCTGTTTTTTGTTTGGTATCTTATAGGCTCCGCCTATTTAGCTTACACCAGACACTGATTGATGCCTAGCCTCTAGGCCAGCCCTAAAGTGGGATGGTATGTGGAGACTGAAACAACTTTGTTGTTATTACTGCTGCTGCTGCTGCAGCATCCTTGGAAGAAGCAAAGGGAAAACCATCTGGGAGGGCCATGATTATCAATCCCCTACTAGGAAGGAGGCAGAGTGGGGTGTGTTCGTGTGTGTGTGTGTGTGGTTGATAAATGAGCGACTGAGAGATCGCACTCTGCAATACTTAATCTCTGTCAAGCCACAAAAATGCCCCCCACGGGTTCCACACTTAAGCCCATCACCACCGTCAGGGTGTGTTGCCCGAGGAGGAAATGTGATGAAAGAGAAGACACCATTAGCTACATCGGCAGCGGAGCCTCCAGCGTCTTTAGGCGCCTTTTGATTTTTTCCCTTGCACCTCTAATAAACGTGTGTGTGTGGGTACACGCAGGCTGTCGTGTGTGCGCGTGTGTGCTGCAATTCCCAAAAGAAAAATCGCGGTGAGTGGAAAGAACAGAAGAAACGGCGATTATTCTATTTTTTGAATTCTTCTAGACATCGACTACTACATTACCGTAAGATGCAAAGCGCGTTTAAAGGACAAAAATTCTTTCAGACTTGCAAGATATTCTACGACACAATCCAATCTACTCATTGCCAACGTTCTTATGATTTTTATTTAGCTAGTATGCTTTAATTCTTAGAGTGAAATAAATTACTAAACTCGTTAAGTTGTCAATTTGTGATTTTTTATCCAGGGCTTTTGTCCGAACGGCGAAAGAATCTCGATTGAACTTAGCGCCGCTAAGGCTGGTATTTACTACCAGCTGCTAAGTCTACATACAGAAAGGGATTATTGTGTGTTGATTAGGCACTTGAAGGTTTACTCCAAGCCAGCTCCTAGAACAAGTGCTGATTACCTAGTTTAAGGGTTCCTAGCACAACAAAGCTTCCCTTAAGAGTCAGAACGTTGCCGTTAGGTATTCAGAGATAATGTTTAAAAGGGAAGTATAATGCCTCCAGAAGGCCACTGTCACCCAGGAAGCACGAAAGTGCTTTTTACTGTGGCAATGCTTGCGTGCGGTAAAAAGGAAGAATAAAAACAATTCATTTGGTGCCGAAATTTGAAACCCCGAGGGGAGCTGTTTCCAAAAAGGGCATGGGGATAAAGTGGAATAAGGTCATTAATCACGTCCGAAAAGGTCTGACTTTTGATGAGAAGTGCTTTTGTAAAATGCCAAATAGGGCGTTGGTGACAAGTTCGCTAGCGGTAGGCTGGGCTGGCAGAAAATTTGAAATCTCCTTTATCCTTTTTGAATGACTTTAAAAGAGATTAAACATTGATTGAAAGCGTTGGATACGAGGTGATCGAACGCTGCCGTGACATGGAGATGAAATACGGGCGCGGAGTAAAATAAGCAGTGTCGACAATTTAACTACAAAGTTAGAGTTTGATAGTGTTAAATACATCTCTTTCCTACCTTTAGCCAAAATTCATTCAGATGGAAAACCTCTGACAAAGCACAGACCAAAATAACGGTATGAACAGTCGACTTCAAGTTGTTAAAGGAGAAATAAATAAAACTTTAAAAATAATCTTCTCTTCCATGATATTAAAAAATAAAGGGGATCGTGATTAAAATGCTGTGAAAAAGGGAAGGGCATCTTTCGTGCCATCAAAGGCAATATGAATCCCCAATGCTTCGATAATGGCCACCAGAAAGGTGCCGAGTTTTAAACGATAGCCAGCTGAGCAGCGAAGCTCAGACTGGCTTCGAGCCTCTACAGGAAGTGCTGGGTTGTCTCTTTGTAGACTGTGGAGAGCGGGTCAAATCATCTAATACAATAAATCCCTCTTTATTGTGCAATGCAAAGCATATCAGATTGAGTCAAGCTTCTTGCGTATACATTTACCCCCTAGGAAATTGAAGATGGTGAAAATAGGAATGTAATCTATTCAGTTTTTTACAAGCTACACATCATCTGCGGTTTATCAGGGCATATTTATGGTCCATGCGGAGCCGTGGTCTGCTGTAACCACTTTCTTGCAATTACTTCAGGACGTTTACTGCACTATGAATGAAGCAATAGAGCCCAATAAATACTTCTTCCCATTTTTATCTCACAGGTTTTGGGGTCAAAACTCGAGGGCACCAAAATTTGCCATTACGAGGAGAAGAAATTCTACTTTTACAATTTCCACTGAATGTGCTTCAATTTGTACAAGAGTAAAATTAGACATCCATTCAAGTTGTAGACGAAAAGGGAAGACGTCAACCCTGCTCACAACCGTATTATACATTTTAAGCAAATAACTATTTTCCACTCCTTCCTTTCTAGTCTTTTTAACATAACTTTTAAAAATACCATCAAGGTATCCTTTAAAATTGGGAGAAACCTTGAAACAACAAATAAAATACATTTCAAACCTCTGCTAAACACACCAACATCTCAAAAACCGCCTCCACTGGATTGTCATCAATCATAAAGTCCCTTTGGGTGTCCTCGTCCGCTCGCCGATGCCTTTTCGCAAGCCTCTAATCTCTCTTTCTCCTCCTCCACCTCTCCCTCGTGCATCAATAGCCGCGCACTCTACGAAGGCAAAAACAGCAACACCCCAGGAGGCGACTGTCTTTGCTTGTTTTCATGCAGGCTTGCTTACAGCTATGGTGTTTTCTTTGCTCCCTCTTCCGAACGGCGAGGCTTAAGGGGCTTGCGAATTCAACATTTTTGTTCAAAAATAAATTGCCCCAGAGATGGAAATCTTATTTCAAGTCTTATAAACAAATGAAGAGCACTTGATGGTAAGGCCTTCTGTTCACAGAAAAACTTTTTGACTTTCTTCATGGACTAATTCATCTATGATACCTGTAAAATGGGGCACCAATGTAGTCTGAGGAATAAAAAGTCATTCTACCTCTGAGTTTTCTTTCACATTTTAAGCATCCTTTTTCATATATATGCTACCAATTCTTGGGCAGGGAACACCTTTGCCGATAGCAATAGATGAATGCGATGTGACTCCACCAAAGTACCGAAATGTATAAATGACTGAAATAGGATAAAACGTAATGAAAAAAAGTGCGCTACAGATGGTATTTAAATATGATTTTAAGATACTGCTAACGTATTCACGTTCCATCATGATTTAGCGTACTACATCATTTGTTCTGCAACAACATCTGCTTCGGCAAGATGACGAACTGTGGAGTAGGTATTTTATAAGCCCACTCATTCAAAGTTGGGATTTTATTGTGAAAACATAAGGTTCCATGATATTTGATGCAAAGAAATCATGGATTTTAGTGCAGTTTGTTGGGCTAAAATTAATGGAACGAAATAAAGTAGTTTCGCCTTGTAAGTAGACACAGCTCTGGATTGAAATACATTACTACCCCATCATTCGTTAAATAATATTTTGTGGATATGCTAAAATGAATATTTTACAGCGCAGCCTCGCCTTCCCATTAGCAATGATTAATTTTTGACTAAAACGCTACTCTACTGAATGCATAAAATCCATTCTATTGATGCCACAATGCAATAAGGGCTTAACTGAGAGTGACTTTCAAACAGCAGTGCCAAAAGGGACTGTTAAAGCATTTGGTCGAAGTTAGAGTATAAATTGCCGATGGTAATTTTGCCTGTTACTTAGATAACTTGCTTGCCGACTTGCTTTGCAAAAAGATCTTGAGAAAACAAACCGCAAAAACAACAGCACAAGAAAGTGATGAATGCTGAATGACAAAGCTGATATGATAAGGAGAGAAACAGAAGTTTACTCAGAGGAAACAAAAAAAAATTTCATCATTATTACTGGATTACATTATACTGCAACTTACATGCTGTACAGCCAACTGTACACCGGCACATTTCTTCCATCATCCCTCCTTGAAGCCTCAGTAGAAGATATTTCCGAGAAGAGGAAGAGGAGGAGGAGGAGGAAAAGAGAGAGAGCGGCTGGTGTACGCTGCAAAACAAGGCGGTGCCTTTGGTTCTGGCACCGCCAATGCAGCCATACACACTGCCAAGGGCAATGCAAACGGTCGCTTGTCTTGGATTGGCCTTTGAAGTCCACTCCCGCCTGCCGCCTCCACAGCCGCTGCCTCCTTAAAAGACCTATCTGGGTCATCGCGCTTGAAGCCTCGGGTTTATGACTCCCTTCGTATGTCTAGGCGTGTGCGTGTGCTGGACTGTCTGTGTGATTCGGTGTATGCACTGCCTTGTTTCCTCGAGGCTATATATCTACTTTTATCTCTCTTCTTGCTTCACTCTAGATGAACACTAAGAGGATCACAAATTGTGCACGCACTACACCCACATTCATTCTGGACACTCACAGCTTATTGGCTGAAGACGCGCTTTTTCCTGCGCGAAACGCGTGTCCCACCAATCATATGTCTGGCTGTAGATCCTTGCAAACGCGCTCGTGTACTTCTGGCGTATTGACAAGGTCTTTTAGCAGCGGCCGAGTTGTCGTCGCCACTACTGACCCTAATAGGGGCGATATCAAAACCCATAAAACAAAATCACCCTCAGGTGGCTAACTGAAGCAAAGGGATGACTGTATCAGCCCTGCTTTTGTCAACCCTAGTGTTGTCAGTGGCAAAGTCGAGGTTGTGTCTTGATACCATTGTGCATAATTAATACTTGAATTGATGAATTTTGTTTGTGAGGATTAATAGTCCTACCACTTTTCCAAAAATGGAGCCTTAGGTGTCGCTTTGGTGGCTATGTTGGAATCATGCTTTTGAAACATGTAATTTAACCAAACTAGAATGGGTTGATTATCAACTCCTTTTTTTAGAACTTAAGCAGCAGTTGATGGAATGCTGATAAATTTATCATGATTGATAAGGAAAAAGCCAGGGGGAGCATCCGATGCATCACCTTGAGAAGAGATTACATTATTCGCTCAAATTGAAATTTGAAGTGCTTTGTTGAGTAACTGACTTGGCCGATAATTGTTTATGGTAGACAAGCAATGGCTTTATGCAACTCCACCAAAAAACCCATGACAATATAAGATGCAAATGCTAAATTAAGCCCTACAACGAAAGATCCTTTCAAGTAAACCAACTTCTTTGAAATGAGAACGTCTTCGTCAGGAAAAGTTTTTACTGGCTGCATAGAATTCCAGCCACTAGCTTTCGTTCATTGTCATTTATTGAGCCCGGGACTCACCAAAATTTGCTGTTTTACAAGGGAGTACACTTGTGGTTGCAACGCCTTCATTGTATCAAAAATTATGCCTAGTTTTAAAGTCTAACTTCCATTAGATATCTCATAATTGATGACAATAAAGTGCGAGGTTCGAAAGAGACGACTCCCTTAAAATTCGTGTTAGGTGTTTTACATATTCTTTCAAAATGGGTTTTTAAAAGTCCAAATTTCAAACCTTATCAATCATGCAGAGATGATTGAACAGCGATTCTTAACTTTAGTTTATTTCAAATGAACATTTTGGTGGAAATAGTAAAAAGGGGATTTGTATCTAATTTCCAATCTGTATAATGATAATGATGGCTAGTTAAAGTCAAGGAAGAGATGTACTAAGGCAGTTTAGGTGGAAGGAGATTGTCTTGAAGGAGGTAAAATAAAGATTATTAATCTCACTTTACCCGTCTTGATGGTGGACTGTTTGCGGGGCAAAAGTGGTTCCAGTCTCATTTTTTAGGCAGGAAAGATGCTGGTGACTCACTTAACCACCACCACCATCGCTGCTGCTGCCAAGACGCACTGCTGCCTCTGCCTCCCCCCAGATCTCCTTCGTCGTGTTGACGCCCGAAGGCCTTCTTTTTGCTCGAGTGGAGAGAACACTTCAAAGAGGGCGCATCTTGCATGCGCCTCAGAAGACGAATCCTTTCCCTCTGCCATCTGTAAGCGGCCAACTTTTTAACAACAAATTCTAATTTGAAGAATTCTCAAAACACGAAATTGAGCTTTGGCTTAAGTCGGCAGACGTGGTGGTATACCAGGTGGTTTGAAATATCAGAAAGCACTGCAACTTCCATGTGAGAAAAAGGGTAGTAAGTTGTTGAATGCACAGGTAATAAAGTTGGTCGGACAGTCGAATTGCCTGTAAGGGTACCGGTTTCATCTCTTGAGTCCGGCAAATAGAAAGGTGAGGAAATGATAAATCCAAAGCATTGAAGCCAATGCAACTGATTGGATTAAGACATGACTTTATGTTAAAACTTCAAGGTCGGTCATACCGGTGTGGTTGTAGAGGACGTTTTCGGACAGCCGACTACTCCAGTTATCTTTATTTTCATTACCTTGCACAGGAAAACTCAAAACTCTGAATGGCCCACGGACTTGCACATCCAAAGTGCGTTTGCTAAGGCAATTGTTTAGACTGCGAAAGAGGGATAATTCGGAAATAAAGACTCATTTTGAATGCAATAAAGCGGTTGGCTACTACTTCCAGTTGGAGATTAATAACCTCTAACATCGGCTCTCGGTTGGATATTGTTTGGCGGAAATAGCATTTTAAAATACAGCATACAGGTTCAGAAAATTATCACCATAACAAAAGAACTAATGAAAAATTATAAATAAGTAGTGACTGATTTTGTCAGGAGGAAAATCATGGTGGTATGCATAAATTACGGGTCAGGTAACATATATGAATCCAGGCTTCTAAAATGTTAAAAAATTACACCAAAGATGCGTATGATTTAATTTAAATTTAAAATTAACGGACTAAATTCAATTAGCTATGCGGCGTTTTAAGCCTTTCCCGAAGACGGAAGAAAACGCAGCACCAGGGTGGAGCGGAGGGACTACTGCCAGTTTGGTCCGGTGGCCATGCCACCCAGTGGAAGCACAATGGCCATGGCCATAGGGTTGAACAAACAAGCAAGGTATTGCAGTAAGTTTGTAAAACTAGCAAACTTTGGCTCTAAGCGCGATTGTCGCGTCAGTGCCTGATGAGACAAAACGTGGTTGACCTTTAAATTTGAGAATTTGAATGTTTACCTTGGAACCGACTACCGTATTCTGCATACTTTAGCCTCAATCGCTGCCCGTTTTAAGAGTTTACTTTCACTTTATATTTATTTTTAAAGGCGTAAACATACCTCATTTGTGGGAAAAACAATCCTTATTATCAAATTTCCTGTACATCAAGAGGAAACTAGAAGAGTTTAAATATAACGTTAGGTTTTCAAATTGAATTTAGAAAATTCCTTAAAACTGTCCACATCAAACGCCATCTTACTTTAAAAGAGGAAAAAGTCTATTTGACTTTAGCTTTAATTCTCCAAAAATATGAAATGAATTGACTGCCACAGGTAGGGAGATATTTTGCGTATCACGCAAATAAGACCGGTTTTTAATACACTTTAAAGGATTTCCAAAGCAAACGGTGTTTGGTATCAGCTGATGGAATAAACTCTTTGAGGTATTTTTAGTAAAAAGTCTTGTGAATCCATATTTTTGGATGGTAATGACATGAAGGGGTACCCGGTAAACTGTCACCCGGCGCCAATTTTATTCACTCAATTTTTCCTCCACTTCAAAGCGCAGCAAGCCTTTTCCCCCAGTTTGCGTTTATTCGAAGCACAAATGCCTGGCTTTTGAACTTTAGAGTATGGAGAATGCATGTAAAAATGTAAATGTGTAATGCCTTGATTATTTGTTTACATCTTTGTTGTAGTTTCAGGGGCAATTAGGGGCTCGGCGTATGCCGCTTGGCCATGCCCGTAGCCGCCAGCCCTTCTGCGCTTCGTCAATGCATATTCCGCCGAACACTACATCTTCTTTAACCGTCAGGTAGTCACGTGGGGCTACAAACATGTCACATTTTTAATAACTAGCTATTTATAAAATGGCAAGTGTCGTACTTACCACTTCTAGTAGACAGGTAGGTAAGGGTTAGCTTAATTTAATAAAAATACTACGTATAAAGAGCCGGTCTCAAGACGAAAACATGAATGATTTCTTTTCGAAAACAGTGATTCACTCTTTTAAGAACTATTTTGATCATGACAGCATGTCTCCAATAAAAGTAAAGCGTAAGTTTGAAGTATAAAAGGTTTTTAAGGATATTTTGACATGCTGAATGTTTCAAAGATGCTGCACCTCGGCACAAATGCTACAGAAGTGTGACATTCCTCCATGTCGCCGTTAATGTGACAGATCCACAGCGGCGACGGGACTTGGCGTAGCCTCATAGCAGAAAGTGAGGTCAAGCTTCGAGAAAAAAACGTTTTTAATAGTTATCAGGTTTGTGTTTTGGAATCAATTCAACTTTATTAATTCACTAGTCAGATGGATGGGAGACACGTCATACCTTGCCACTGACCACAGCAAATCTCGGGGTGAATGCATCTATCACTTCCACTACAGTTGTTTTCAGGTCAGATTGGTCTCACTTCATATCCGCCGCCCTTACCGACTCATCCCTAGGCTGAACTCGCTTACCAGAACAGATAGAGCATCGTCAAATGAACCGCATATTTATCCCTTCTCTGCGAGCTGCATTCGCCTATTGGTTCAAAAGAATGCAAATACGATGATGGAAAGGATGCCAATTGGAAGCCCAAAGGCGATGTGGGTTAACGGTGATCAAATAAGCAATCGCAATCACGGCAAATTCCATACAGCTATCTAAATGAAACATCCATGTTTAGGAAAGTGAGGCATTTTCTAGTAGGTGCTTTAAAAACTTTTTCTAACCTCTTTATGTCTATCAAATGATAAATATACTTGAGATTTCAGTTGAGTATAACTAGTCATTCATGAAGTAGCCTCCTTGGGAAGCTTCCTGTTCAAAGACATTTAAATTATAAAGCCTGGAATAGGAATGTCTGCTTGTTTTTGGTCTATATTTTAGTTATGATTGTAAATCTGGTGCTCTCCTGTCGAAGCTCGTGTTGGGGTAAAGCTCAACTGAAAATACCCACAGTTTTGATTAAAAGTCGCAATACTTGCTTACCAATGAATCCTACATGTGCACAGAATTTCCTGGATTTTGTTCCTTCATTTCATCAGTTTAATATGAAGATGCCTGCCGGGGAAAAGTCTCACCATATTTTGAGGATTTCTTCATGAATTTGCTCGATCCCTTAACCGTATTTTAAATGGACCGGAAGTTTGCCTCGAGCCTAGGGAATTTTACCGCTCCTTGACATCAGAGATATGCGTTACCTAAATAGACGTTAGTAGACCAGAGATTTTGCGAGTCAGTGCATTCCGCTAAACTGGGTGGAATAACATTTAATGCAAAGCAAATATCCGATAAAAAGAAATTTCAACAATTTATTTTACTTCTGACTTTTTATTTAGAAATCCGCTTTTCTTCTTACGATGATTTGAAGGTACTTCGACTTTTGAAGGCATCAGGTTAACTAAAAAATTTCTTCGATCTCGAAATATCACCATATAATGAACGTAATACCTAATTAACTTATTATCCACCATTCTGTAAGTCAATGTAAAAAGCCTAATTGAAACTTGGTTCATTATCTTAATTAAAAGAACACCCTTATTTCTTTAGACATTCAGTGATTGAAGATTGGGAGAGTCGCTGCCGCCATCGGATGTGCCTTTGAACCTCAGTAATTTGCAACCCATTGGCTGCAAAATTTGAGCAATTTTTAGTTATTTTACCATTTCGCTTACAATAACATTTGCTATTTTTCGGTTTGAAATTTATCATTCACCTAGATTCGCTTGTAAAATTTGACGCTTTCTTGATCTCGATTTGATCACTCATTGAGCGCAAAACTACCTTAGGTGGAATTTCCTCACTCATTGCCATTGTTAGCTACAAAAACACTGTTGTACTTCAAATCTTGTTTGGATTATGATAAATTGAATATTTCACGGAAGTACCGTCTCTGAGGCCTACTTCTGCCAGCATTTTCAGTAAAC